TCTGAAAGATGTCAATGACTATACTAGAAAATGTTTGCTGTAGTTACCACAAAAAAATAATACTCCTTTTATTTACAGTTTGATGGATTCAAGTATGCAAATATTGTTATTTTGATTTCTTTTTGTGATCATTTTATAGCATTCCAGTAATATTTCCATTTTCATGGTACTAAGAGTAAGCAGAGTAAAATTGCTGTGATTTGTAACACTGTCCATAAGGAAAGTAGGGCAACGGTAAGAGCACAAGAATAAAGCAACTAATAATCATAGAATTATAGAATGGTTTGGGTTGGAAGGGACCTTAAAGATAACAGTTTCAACCACTCTGCCATGGGAAGGGACACCTTCCACTAGACCAGGTTGCTCAAAGCCTAGCCTTGAACAATGTCAGGGATGGGGCAGCCACAGCTTCTCTGAGCAGCCACCACCTCACAGTAAAGAGATTTCTAGCTAATATCTAACCTAAAACTCCCCTCTGTCAGTTTAAAGCCATTCTCCATTGTCCTATCACTACATGCCTTTGTAAAAAGTCCTTCTCTAGCTTTCTTGTTGGCCCCTTTAGGTACTGGAAGTTGCTCTAAAGTCCCCCTGAAGCAATCTCTTCTCCAGGCTGAACAACCCCAGTTTTCTCAGCCTGGAGAAGTGCTGCAGGTGCTCCAGCCCAAGGAGCATCTTCATGATGTAAAAAAGAACCATTTTGTAATAAAGCATAATAATAATAAACAAAATAAAATTGCACTGTTTTCATGCCTTGAACTCACCTTGGGGTGCATAGCCTGCCAGACACCCAGCAGTACCAGCGAACTTCCACGGTGCGGCAGCTCAGCATTTCAGCAGCACCCACGGCAGCTCACAGGAGCAGCTCTTAGGAAAAGCTTTTGCATTTTTCCTGCATGTTTTATTTCCTTATTTTTGCTCAAGTTAACAAGGATCATTTATTTTCTTCTGTAGTGAATCAGTTTTTTTCCTACTTAATCTCTTAAACTCTAAAATTGTTTTGTGATAATATTAATTATTTAACGGAAATAAGCAGTTTCACGGCCTAATCACACCACCCTTGAAAACTGACAGTTGCCTCTGAATAAAGGATGGCGTGATTGGCAGTATTACCTTCAGGCATAGAGGAGAGCTGGAGAAGTGGAATAGTGTGAAACTTCATCTCTCTCCCAGGCTGCTCGGATTATTTATCAAAGTATGTGAAGATAAAAAAAAAATCAAGGGAAATGAATGCATGTAAATTATTAACAGCCTGCCTCAGAGCATGAGCAGATTTTGTGGATACCATATTAACTATAACAAATTTTATTACACATTCAAATGAAAAGAAACAGGAGTAACACTTCTAACAGGTTACTAGATAACGTGTAAAATAATCTCATCAGAAACTGGTATCTAGAAAATAACATTGTAAATATGAAAAAAAAAAGTGTCAAGTAAGCATCTGATGTTCAGGGAATTACTTGTTTATTTTTCACAAGTATTTATACTGTTGAATCAAAGAGGTTAAAACTGAGTCGTTGCTATAGTCCAAATGACAATATTCTTGTGAGAGCTATTTGTAATTGAGATCTCTTACACAGGCCACCAAGAAGAATAAAGACTAGTTTATGAAGCGGTAGCACAAAAGCAAATCTTTATTTGCTGTTGCTCAGCAACCATGTGTGGAAGGCCCATTTTTCATTTTTCCCTTAACTTGACTTGACAGGAAAATGATAATAAATATGAGATTATTATCACAGGGTATAGATTATTTTGAACAGATGAACAGATATGTCAAAAAGAGGTATGTAATTTGGTACTCTCAAAAGGGAGAACGTTAGAGAAACTGAAAATAGAGTTGTAGCTTCATTACTAGCTTGCGATTCATGCACAATTCTTAAAAAAACCCTGTAAAGCACTGTTCTGCCTCTCTGGTTTCTCTGTGTGGTCCTTTAAAACAAATTATTTGGTTTTATTCAGTCTGTTGTTATCAGTGTCGATTTCTAGTTTCAGTACTATGAAGAAACCACTCTGTGGTTGCTATGCAACACAAATTATAAGCTAAAATATGTTTTAGTTCATTTGCTAAATGGGCATGTGCCCGACTAAATAAACAGTAACCAGGTGACTAATGTAGCATCTAATTAAAAGTCTAATCAACATATTAATGAAATATTCAGTCCACATGAGACGTGATAAATAAATCCGTCAGTTTGGATCTAAAATGGCAAAGATTTTTAATATATGCAGAAAGGGAAGACATGAGCACAATATATAAATGCCAGGGTTTGTACTTTTTAATTTGCTTTTACTCTTCCACAGGTACAATGGCTTCTCCTACAAAATACTTAAACTTTTTCACAAGCTTCTTAACCGTAGCTGAATACCTAAGTTAAGAAATTAAGGCAGGTGCACAGAATCTGAAACAACCCTAATTATCCATCTTTTTTCACTGTAAAGCAGCAAAATGCTCCCTTGTTTTAGTAGTCTGCTTCTGGAAGTCAGTGCCTCCTGGCTGTCAGTGTGAGGATTAGGGTTGGAGGACAGACGCTATTTAAAGAGATTGTCCAGGATGATCCATCTCTCCTGGGTCCCTTTTCTGTGTTTGCTGGTAGGTGGATGTTGGTTATTTCCTGGATTGCCTTTTTCACACTTTAAAGGAGAGTAGCCTTTGTCTAGATGGAAATATGATCCTAAGAGGTATGTCTGTGTTTGGCTTCAGGTGGAGTCAAGGTGTGGTACTGAACTGCCTGTGCACAGTTCTGTTGCTTAAGATGATGAGGTTTTGGCTGCTGACTCCTGCACCCTTGGGTACACAACCATCTCAATTACAACATGGAAGTAACATAGCCCATTCTCCTACCGTGCCCACAGTACCCTCTATGTAGCACACATTTGTTTTAAACTCCAGTTATTTCGTAAGTTTCACATGAACTCAGTTGATTCAGGAATTGAAAGAGTTTTATCTTTGTTTTCAGCAACATTAGTCATCTATTATGTATGGTTTTAAAGCAAGACAGAATAGCATTATTTATATGGGATAAGCATTTAATAAACTATTTTTCATCCTATAGTCCTCAAACTGTATAAAAAACAGGTAAATATTTTACTCAAGAACTTTAAGAAATAAACCAGTAAAAGTCCCTAAGTCAAACATATATGACAGAAACTATGGCAAGTCTTAATTTTGAATACAAACCAATATTGTGAGAGGTAGGATGATTAAAGAAGATACTATGTTAAAAACTGAAATATTATCAGAAGACATAAATACTGTTAAAAAAAAGGGGGAATTTCTACATATACTAATAAATAACATCTGAATTACATAATGTTTTTTAAAATTACAATCTAGAAAACTCCAGTCAGATGTGAGAACTTGCATGGAAATTATTGTTGGTTTTGTTTGTTTGCATAGTAAAGCAGCATATGCTGCACTGCTTTCATAGCCCGAAAGTAACTGATTTCAGTCAAGCACCTACCTCTTCTAAACAGCCATCAACACTGAGAAAATGTATGCTCCTGCAAATGCAAAACTGAAAGATATAAATTAAGCCCTTAACAAACCACACTGACTGGTTTTGGTTTGCAGAAGAGCTCAAACAAATGGAATGGGGAATATTACAGAATTTGATTATGCTTAATTCAAAGAACTGAGTCCAACTATTTCCAAACACTGTAAATTAAGTTTGAGAAGAAACAAAGCAGCATTTCCTGATCTATTAAAAAATCCTTATTTATCAAAGTGTAAATATCACCTGGCCGAGATAGTTTCCCAAAGTTCTGTTGAGCAGCCTATTCTTCATTGCTTTGGGTGAAGAGTGTGTAATACATAGCACTGTTCACTGTGACTAAGATTAAATTTGTAACTCTCAACACTAGCAACAACCACATTGCTGGAGAAGTCACCAGTGTAATCAAATGGATGATGCAGGCTTTGTGAGCTAGCAGAAACGTTTTTGTAAGAATAGTACACCCATGTTACCCAAGATCCATGGAATCGCAGAACTGTTTGGGCTGGAAGGGACCTTAAACTTCACCTAGTTCCAACCCCCTGCCATGAGCAGGGACACCTTCCACTAGACCAGGTTGCTCAAAGCCCCATCCAACCTGAGGCTGAAATGGAGCATTTATCAATTCCTTGGGCAACCTGTTCCAGGGCCTCACCACCCTCACTGTAAGGAAGAAGGCATACTGTTTCTTAAGCCTATACATGAATTTAACTGAACATGTCATAGCCCCATTTAAAGGCATTGAAACTTGAGAGGTAGCTACAGAAAGGTAACACCAAGCTCATATGTAAATTTACTCCTAGTCACCTGCCTCAGGTTAACTAATGGGATGCTCCTCCAGGAAAAAAACGTGTGTTTGACAACCTTTATTAAAAGCGAAAGCGATGGGGAAGCATTCGGCGTACCCAAATGTAAAGAAGGTCAGCCTGCACCCAAGCTCCTTAGTGCAGCAGCCCGTGTGTGCCCGTTATTGGGCCTGGCCTCTCTCTCACTGGCGCATCTCCCCCATCGCAGCCCCTCCGCTCCTCCCGCCATCCCGGGGCAACAGCCCGTCCTTCAGCCCCCTGCTCCACCAAAGGTGGTCGGGGGATGAGAACAGCGGCGGGGAGCCGAAAGTCACCCCGGCGGCACCTGACTGAAAACCGCTCTCCCCTCCGCGCAAACGCTATAAGGCGTGTTTTGAACGCGATCCCGCACCGGGGCTGCACTGCTAAACCCCGGCCTGCCGCCCGCCCCCTCGCTTCAGCCACAGCCCCGATGCCGCCGCGCGCCGGCAGGGGGCAGAAGCCGAGCTCTCGCGAGACGTGAGCTCCGCTGCTCGCGCGCGCGCGCCCGCCCTCCCCGCGCTCAACGGCCGCCGCGGGATAATTCGAAAGTGCCGGCAGCGCGCGCGCGAGCCGCGGAGCCCGACTGCGGTCTCACCTCAGTGTGAGCGCGGCGGGGCATTGGCACGGAAGGGTCTTGCGTTGGGCAGTGCTGCTGAGAGGAGCTGGCTTTCTGTCTGCATGCCCGGCCGGGTTTGTTTCCCTCCTGCGCAGGCAGCTCCGCGGTGCTGGTAGCCGTAACCCATTGGTCCATGAGGACTTCGGTCTGAGGGAGCGCTCGGTAAGCGTCGCGTCTCTCTTACCACTTGCTCCGCGGGCGCGCGTGGGGCGGCCTGTGGGACTGGGCTGTGGACATGGGGACGGCCCGGCGAGCGGACAACCCCTGGCTAACCCGGATCGTGCCCCGGGCGGGCACCCGCCCCGCTGTCAGGGCTTCATACGCAGTAAGGGCTGCATAACGCAGTGTCCAGCTGGTAGGGGTGGGAAAAGCACGTCAGGAATCACCTAAGATGAAAGGCATTCTTAGGTGTGCAAATTAAGCTCTCTGTGTCAGGAAGTGTCTTTGCAATTTTCCCATAGTTTTTACCTGACAAGAAAGAAAAGGAGAGAATATCCTGCTACCCAGAAGTAGAATCGCAGAATGGTTTGGGTTGTAAAGGACCTTAAAGCTAATTTAGTTCCAGCCGCCCTGCCATGGTCAGGGACATCTTCCACTGGAGTAGGTTGTACAAAGCCCCGTCCAACCTGCCCTTGAACGCTGCCAGGGATTTACTTTTCATAAAAGTAAATGCTGTCGTAGGGAATGATGGCTACTAAAATAGGGGGTGTGCTGGATCATACACTTCTTAAAAAATCAAAGTAGCCATAAAACACTTCTGTTTTAAGACTTGTTTAGTAAAAATAACCCAACAAAACTACAGAGAAAGCATGCAAGTACTGCAGCCTAGTATTATGAATCTAAATGATTATTCAGATAACTATAAAGTATTTTGGAGGGGAAAACCTCTTCTATTTATGACCATGTAGATGAAGAATGTAAGTTCATACATGCTTCACTGAGGCCAAACACGATCTTATTTTGAGAAACAGCGTTTTCTCTTAACGTTTTGTTTTGTTTATGAAGCAAGGAAAAGCATGACCACAATGAAGCGTGAAGCATTTTTAGAAATTGTATCTAAGGATTCAATTGAAGACTTCTTGCGTTATACTCAGCATCCTGTAAGTAAGCCATGATATATGTGTGTGACTTAAGTCTGTTATTAGTGCAGAAATTTTGTGACGTAGGGTTAGAGATTATTTTTCTGATACCTGCAGATGTGCTAGAATAATTGCTGTAGAAAATAAGTACAAGTGGCACTTGAGGGACATAGCTGAAAAAGTTGTAGAGTATGAAATTCTGCTGTTTATAAACCAATTATTTTTTAAAGATCTGGTTGTTGCACATGCAGTTTACTTTTTTCTTTTTTTTAGAATGGTTAATACTGTGGTAATACTAAAAAAATGTATTAAGTTGATGTTGATGAAGTGTTCGTGGGTTTTGGTTTTTTTTTAATTTCAACCCATGAAAGAATTTACTGCTGCATAATAAGTATGAGGTAATATTCAAACATAGCAGAGGCATGTTTCACTAATATTTGTTGATTCATTTGATAGTTTAGGCTGCCCTCTTATTTAGTGTGTGTTTAATTGTGCTTTTTTGTCTCTGAATGTTGTAGACATGGAACAGGTTGCTCTCTAAATGAGTGTAGAGGGAAGCTGGAGGAACAACAAAACAAAGCCACTGAAATGTCCTAATTAAAAGTTCCTTCTCATATTGTGTAAATGATATTGCATAGTAATATGAAATAATAATGTGCATTTTCTACCACACTTCAGTCTCTCTGGTATTAAGATAAGCACAGTTTCTTATGTACATCTTTTTCTAGCCGTACTATATGCTATTGTCAGATGAGTTTCTTAAGGTTTCCAATCAGTGTTATCCTCGTACTACAGGATAAAGTAAGTGGATCAGTTGACCTTGATGTCCACAAAGGAATGAACTAATTTACTGATGTAGCAAATATGTTAAATATATGATTTCTGTGATAGGGATCATATTTGCTGTAATAAGCTTAGAAATGTTTGTCTCCCAAATGTCATTGAATCTCTTTTTCCAAGAAATTTTCTATTTATTTCATTTGCACTCCCACATGTAGCTATAGGTGGCAACTGTAGTACGAGATTGCTTTTCCTTGAAGTCTGCTTCTTGGTTTTTTTTTTTCCCCCAAATCTAAACACTTTAATAATAAACTGTTCTGTTTAAGGTAACATATAATACTTTGTTTCCTTTGAGATTAATTTGGTCATGTTGGTTCTGCCATTTTCATCCACTAATCTATTTTAACATATCTTGGTCTACTTGGATTACAAATCGATTTTTTTCATCACCAACTCACAGGAGTTGTCTTGCAGCAGTTTTCAGCTATTGCCAATATTGCTGGAAACTCTGAGTTGCCAGCTATAATGAGTATATTGATTAAAACTGTCCTCATGTCTTGATAGCATAAGGGAACCTAAACCTTCAGATTACTTTTTGATTGTAATAAATGATATTTTGATATATAAATGCAGAAAGAAGAGGAAAGTGTGATTAGAGACTCACTGCTTTCCTTAGGTTTCATATTGTATTTACGCTCTGTTTCTTCTAACTATTTTGAGCTCTAGCCTCATGATTTACCTTTTAATTTGTTTTTACAGTTCTGCTCTTAGCATCACTGCTTCTTTCAGTGTCTCTCATTCTACACCCTACCCTTCCCCTTCAATTTTCCTCTTTCCCTCCTCTCAATATTTTGTTTCATTCACATCTTGTAAAATTCCTGGGGTTTGCCAATTTTCCAAAGTTTGCCTTGGTCTTTTAACTTATTTTTCTTTGTAATCTTTTAAAAATATTACTGCATTGTGACGTTGTTCACTGAAGTCTTTATCAGGTGTTGTTAACTTTTTCCATTAAACCTGTTCCAATTCAAGAAAATACATTATTTCTTAGACAGGAAAATAGGAATCACGTTTATGACTATCATTCAATTTTCCTCATAGGCTTTGGAATAATTCTGTCTCCTATTGTCCCAAAGAAAGATCAGAAAGCTCTAGTCATGTTATGAATTCATTCCTTTTGTTCAAAACAGTAGAATCTTAATATGCTGTCTTTTGGGTTTGTTTGAAGTAGAGGGCTGCAGCACTCCCTGTGTGGACTCTGGTTTATTGTATTTATTTCCAGCTGTATAGGGTAGAAATTCTGTTCTAAATATGTAACAGGATCTTCTCATACCCTTTTGAGATCCTTCTAATGCTTAGTGCTGCTTCTTTCATTATTTCCTGGTTTTCTTTTTTCCTTGAACTTTAGTTTTTTTCTTTTTGTTTTCTGTTTTTTTAGTGTATCTGCAAACTAAAACTATTTCTGTTTCAAGAACATGGACATTCTTCCTCTTTCCTCCAAAATGATTTTGATCTGGTAAACCTTCACTTCAGTATTGCAAATTACATCTCGGAAATTACCTGTACTTCCTTTTGGCTGTGTTTGTTCTTTCCTCTGCCTATTCCCTTTCCTAGCAGGTTGCCTGCCCTTCTTTGATGCTAAGCTTTTTGTGTCTGAGGTAAATTCTTCTAGCAAGCTTCTTCTGAGGAAATAGTTCAGATCAGTTTCTTAGTCAAGTCTCTTACAGAGACTAATAGTTGCTTCCCATTCAGTAAAGCGTAAGAGGGAAGTCTGGGGTAAATGGTTTGATGGGGGGACTTCAAAATAGTGCAGTGTACAGAGCACTGTTGTACCTCAAAATCCCTAGTGCTGTCCTTATGGCTCTACTGGCATTTCTAGTCCTTGCATAAGTGTTTTCTTCCAGCAGCCATCATCAAGCTATATTTAAGATAGCTAAGTACTTATAGCAAAGTACTTAAGTTCTGTGCAGTTTGAGCTGCTTAGTTAAGGGTATGGAATTGTCTCCCTTGGGAACGAAATATTCAGAACACATGAGAAACAGGAGTTCATGTTATGGGGACGTGATTTATGTTCAGTAGTGTTGCTATCAAGGGTTGCTATTAGTGTTGCTAAGGACTACAGTCTTAAAAGAAGCACTCTTGTTATGTGATAAAGAGCTGAGCAACAGAATTTTTTTTAATGCTATTTTTTAAAGTAATAAAAATTCTAGAAGGTATTTATCTCTAATTGCAGAGGAATGGAAATTAATCCTTGATGTAAGAAATTGTTAATTTTAGGAAATGTGATCATAAAATCAAGTAGGTTGGAAAGGACCTTTAAGACCATCATGTCCAACCTTCACCCCAGGACTGCCAAGACCACCACTAAACCATTTCACTGCGGGCCTCATCTGCATGTTTTTTGAACACTTCCAAAGACAGTGATTCCACCACTTCCTTGGGCAGCCTGTTCCAATGCCTTATCACCCTCTCTGTGAAGAAATTGTTTCTAATATCCAGTCTAAACCTCCCCTGGTGCAGCTTGAGGCTGTTACCTCTTGTCCTATTGCTTGTTACTTGGGAGAAGAGAGCAGCCACCTGGCTCCATCCTTCCAGTTAATTGTAGAGAGCAGTAAGTTCCCCCCTTTGCCTCCTTTTCTCCAGGCTAAACAACCCCAAGCCTCTCAGCTGTTCCTCATCAGACTTGTGCTCTAGAGGCTTCACCAGCTTCATTGCCCTTTGGATACACCTCAGCACCTCAGTATCTCTCTTGCAGTGAGGGCGCAGAACTGAATGCAGTATTTGAGGTGTGGCCTACCAGTGCCAAGTGCAGGGGAATTACTTACCTAGTCCTGCTGGCCACACTATTTCTGATACAAGCCAGGACGCCGTGGCTTTCTTGGACACCTGGGGCCAGTGCTGGCTCATGTTCAGTTGCTGTCAGTCAGCATGAAGATGAAATATAAATCACTTCACTGATGTGAAATTGTGTGATATCTTCTGATCATTCATAGAAAAAAACATTTGATCATTTTGACTTGAATGAACTACTTGAAGAATTGCCGAGAAAGCAAAAAGAAGTACTATGGGAGAGACTGATGAAGCTATTGACAGAGTGTTTGATGGAGAGCCCTGTGGAAACATGGCAGAGGATCGAAGATGATGAAAATAATGATAACATGGAAGTTGAGATAGTTCCAGAAACGGTAAAAATCTTGTAAACTAAAAATAGATAAGTATTACATGTTTTCTGGGAAATAAAACGTAATATTTCTGTAGCATCTGAGAACATGCAAGGGTTATTAAATGAGGTGAGTTCCAAACACCACTCTGCCTCATTCTGTAAAGATGTTAACTGTCATGCCTGGGTTTAGCTGAACTTATGATTGATCTGTACCATAAAATATTAGTTCTGCTGTTAATTTGAATTAGGAAAGATGGGATATAGATTGATTTTTTTTTTTTTTTTTTTTCACTAGGGTTGAGTGGCCTTTTTGTATGTCTTATTTCCAGAAATAAATGTTGGTATCTCAGCTGTTCCTTAAGTGTCTGGCATATACTATAAGAAATTCACAGCCTTTTTTATTTTGTCTTTTTATTGAACGAAGGTTGTGAAATTTGATTTGGAGACCCCTCCCACAAATTTAGCTTAGACAGAATTTCTGACACAGACCCTCATATATTCCCTTCTGCACTGTAATGCCCATAGTCTGGAGAATGCTGGGGGAAAAGGTTATATAATTTAGAAGGAAAAAAAGAAATGCAGTGGGGAAATAATTCAGGAGACCTAGAGGCTTGTAGAAAATTAATTGTATGTACAGAGGCCTATAGAATAACTTACCTGAATTGCAACCTGAGTTGCAAAGACCGTGCTAATTAGGGTTTTTTTTTAGCTCTGAAATGGATGTGTGTTTGAGTGGTTTTGTTGCAGATAAAGTTTTTAATGCAGGAGTGGATACAGTCATCGGGTTATCTACTAGCTGGAGCTGAAAGCACTTTTCAACATTTCTGAAACTGATGTGCTTTAAAAATCTTTGATTTTGCCTCTTCTTATTGATAGGTTTTGTGCGCTGGTATACTTTCTTCAAAATTGAAGCATAATAATAATTCAACTTTGCTCTGTTGCTAAGGTTTATTTCTTGTAGTTACCTTCAGAGTTTAAAATAAACTGCAGAATTGTTTCCTCAACGTTTCTTTCTTTCAGAAACAAACTGTAGCTGTAATCCAAGGAGTGACAGCTGTAGTTTCTGCTTCCATACGTGCAGTGGATGAAACTGCAAACTACAAAGCTCTTGCAGAGTGTGTTTTTATATTAAAGGGTGCGTACCTATCTATTATAGAATACGGCATTATACTATTTGAGCAAATGGGTGTACTAGGCTTTTTGTTTGATTTGACAGACCTGTGGAACACAATTTACAGGGGAAAAGTTGGTACTGATGAAAGCTTTTACTTATGAGACAAAATTAAGGGAGCATTTACTTCAAAATCAGTTACTCAATCTAGAAGTTGGAGCTTAATTTTTTTTCTTTCTCCAAACTGTTAACCCAGTGACAGATAGCTTTCCTAATCCTGTGTCTAATGTTATTTTTAAGGCAAAACTTCAGTTTCCATTGTTACTCATCCAAAAACTTGGCCAAAACTTTTGAGTTAGCAAAGCTGCTAGAATAAGCTGTTAAGATATGTGAAAGTGGCAAGAACTGGTTGACGCTGTGAGGTATATAACAGACTAGTGTTTTACAGGAATAACTTGGTTCATCATAGTAAACACTTATTTCATTGTTGTAGGTATTCTTCTTGTGTTACCTGAACCTGAAAAAAAACTACAGGGTGCTATTCAACGTGTATGTGAAATGTGGTGGGAGAAAGGCCTGGAAGGAAAGGAGGACATAGGGAAGACCCTATTTATCATTCTGCTAAGAAAAAGCCTGAATACAGCTGCTACGGTATGGTGAAGCTGTATTGACTTCTAGATAATTACTCTATATTCCAAGAAATACTATCACTGCAAAAATACCTTTTATTTCAGGTTACCTTATTTTCCATGTCCTAGTGCTTCTCAGTTAATGAAATTTAGGGTACGTGTTGGTTGTGAAGTGTCTTTTTTTGCATTTTTTGTGTAAGTTGTCTTTTGTAGAACAAACTTTAAAAATTTTTGGCATTGATTTTGCAAGTGAACTGGGATGGTCTTTTTTTACCGTTTTTTTGTTTGTTGTTTTGTTTTTTAAAATCCAGTGACCAAGGTTTCAGTAGGAGTTAACTCTTTAATCGGGTTTTATATATTACATTCATTTATTCATAGAGATTTCTTCTGTGCAAAGCTTCATTTTCTGTTACTTCGTATCTGTCTACAAATAATTTCTTATTTCTCTATTGATGGACTGAAATTCTTCTTTTAAATGTGTGAGTTACTTGGAGTATTGTGGGATACATCTTTTGCACTAACCCAATAAATATCTTCTTTACTTATTTCTTTATTTTTCCCTGTTAGCTGCTTTCATTGTATGAAGTTTCAAGAGCTTTTATCTCTTTTGCATGAAATAGCTGCTTTCTTTCTGTGCTTGAGCATGTATTTAGTTATCAAAAGTTAATATTTCTGCATATTAAAAAAAGTACACCTTTTTGTAATTTTTCTCAATGATGTGGGTAAAGTTTAGTGATGATCATAATTTTATAATTTAAAAATTTTCTGTCAGTAGCAATGCTTTTCAAATTCATTATTTCAAATCCACTAAATGCTTTTTCACATTGAAGCTGTATCTACTTCACTATATTGTGGGTTTTCTTTTCTCCTGCCAGGGTGCAGATATAGTTCGTGTATGGAATCTGCATCAGATATTACTTAGTTTTGATTATGATTCAGAGGAGATTAATGAAGTCAAGGACTTACTGCTTCAGTGTTTTATGAGTGTAAAATACATTAAGAAAGAAGAGGTAAGCAAACTTTTATTGTGATTTTAAGTGAGTGGGCTTTGGTTACTTTTAATGGTTTTGCATTAAGCCTTTTTTTACAGTGGGGTGGGTAGCAATACAAGACCGATCAGCTCTGACTCAGAGCTGTAAGTGGTTGATATTCTGTTTCATTTGGAAAACTCTATTCCTATTCCAAACTAAAGCGTAAAAGTATAAGCCTGTCTCATCACCGAAGTTCATGTATCCTGAGGTAATAAGAACCAAGTGCTTTGCTTCCAGTGCATGTCCCTTAATACTTAAAACCATTCCCTAGTATAATTCTCTTAAGCAGTTTTTCTGTTATTGGAGATGGATAACTGTAGCAAAATAATTTCCCTTCTAAATGATTCAGTTTAGAAGATTGCATTGCCGTAAGTCTGCTATTAAAAGTAGTATAAGAAGAACCCAACTTTACAGCAAAATGAGAACTGTTTTATTTGGCTACCTATGTTTCTCTCGGTGAAGAACTGCTGTATTGTAGTCTCTAGATTGTGCCTGTGCACCAAGGTAGTAGTTTCAAAGCTTTTTTTCTGGTAAGATGACGAGACAACCTTTTGACAAGATATTGCTCTGAAGTTCTAACTCCTCCTTGCCTGCTTAAAATATATATATTCCCTTCATGGAATAAATGAACTTCTGTCATAAAATGAGCTCTGAGATCGTTGCATGATTGTGGCAGTATGGGGATATAGCATTATAAAAATGGTGACATCAAATGCATTAGGTAAAATGTTTGATAGACCAGGTTTTGGATACCTGACACTAAGTTTGTGTGGATTTTTTTTGTTTGCTTGGTGTGTGTTTGCTCTTTGTGTATGTTTTGGGGAATTTTAGGTTTTGTTTCTTTCGGGTTTTTTTACTTACACATTATATTTTAAGATGAGTTTTTTTGACTAAGATTGGGATACACAAAGGCAACTCCCACATATCCGGGCTAATAGTTCCTTTAGTGCCTGCAGGCTTGTTCTACAGTTCCTAAGAAAAATATACCTAATTTGTTTTAGAGTACACATAGAGCGTAACTCCATAGCAGCTTAAGTGGATATAACTCCAGGGTGAAATGATCCTGTGGCTGGCATTCTTATAGCCCTTTCCACAGTATGAATGCTCAAGCATATGTCATGGGTTGATTGGATGAGGTAGCTGATCAGGTTTTTTTTTTTTTCCCTAGAAAGTTTATTTTTCAGCCAAACGAACTCTCTGGACTGGTTCATCATATGCAAGGATGAAGGGAAGGGGAAGGTCAGGAAAGTGGTATTCTGGTTCTAGATCAGGTTAAACTGATATAGAATTGCACATTTACACCTCATTGCAAGATGATGAGTTCAATTTTTCTGCTTTCATAGACTGTGCTGTTCAACACACAGTAATATTTCTCAGAGGCTTATTTTCAGGCTGCATTAGGGGAGTGATCCTCTGAATTTGTATCTGTGATTTATGAAAACATTTTTGTTCAGGTAAGACTTACAGTCAAACAGCTGGAGGGCCCTGCAAAGCATGTATTATTGTGTTTTAGAGGCAGACCTGTTATACTGTCTTCCTCCTTGCTAACCTTCTGTGTGTTCAGACAACAGTCAAATGTACCATGCCCACAAGCAAAGCAGTACCAGATGCCCAATGCTCTTGTTAATGTATTAACCCCTAAGATGACAAGTTCGCAGTCTTATTCACCTATCACCAATTTACCTTTTGTGACCCTGATCATGTTGATAACAATAATCGTTTCAGATCCATTGATCACAAGCAGCACATGAAATTGGGGGCGGTTAGTATCATTTCAAGATCAGGGTCAATCTGTTGAAATCTAAGGCATAAAAGAATTGATTGAAAGCTATTTGTAAGTTTTCTTCATCTGTCTTGCTGCTGGGATTGTAGAAGATGAGGCGAGTTAGAGTTTGTCCTCATCCTTGCGTTGTTGAGGCAGGACCTGTCAGTCACGACTCCTTGACCTTTGGGTTTGTCAGGGATGTTGATGAAAGACTGTACCACTGGGACTCCCATATATGTATTATACCACCGAAGTTGGAGACAAGTGACTTTTTCTCATTCTGTCTTTTTTCTTTCTTGGTAGAAGAAGCTCTCATTGACAACAGAAAGGATTCTGTCAGACCTGCAGACAAGGATTTTGACATTGTATTTAGCCTTCAGTTCCTTATGATCTGAATTACTTCCTGACCTGAAGGCTTTGAAGCTATCAGTTCCACCAAAGGATAGTTTCTCCCTATATGCTTTCTTCCCTCTACCCCATGGTATTCCAGCTCAAAGTGTGTCTGGCATTCTCAGCTTTGTTTTTTTCTCTATTTTGTCATAGGTCTGAACATTAACTGTTGGTCCAGCTCTTGATGGAAGTGCCTTTGAACTTCTGCTAATTGTTCAGTACAACTTTTGAGCTTCTGCCAGTGTGCTCTTTATTATTGCACTTCCTTGCTAATTTTCCTGATTTCTTTTTGCCTAGGAAGCTGACAGGTATATAGGACCCTTATAACTGGCTCACTTACATATGATCAAACTTTTCAAAGTCTCAGAAGCTGGATGCCCTTTACTTCATGTGTGAGATCAGCCAGAAAGGCTGTCTGTACATTTACTGTGTAAGGCTCTAATTCCATGGGCAGATCTTCCTGATTCCAGAAGAGCAACAGCTTATTTCCTCCATCCACATCTTTCCAGTACCTTTTCTTTCAAAAATTCTGTTGCTTATCAGTTTTATTATCACCATTTCTGACTCGCTAAAATGGAAGAAAACTAGTTCAGGAAAAAAAAGAATGTTTTTTTTTTTCTTTTCATGAATTAAAGCATCTCCAGGAGGTTTCAAATATTACCTTTCATGAAGCAGTAAGAAAGGAATTATCCTTGCAAATCAGAACATTTATTTTCCTCAGTGGCCCAGCTGTTCTCTGTGGCTTTGTTCAAGTATGTTTCTGTATCCAGTGCTGGCAGAGTTGGCATACTGTCATTACAGTTTCATCCTGCAATGGTACTGCATTTGACAGAGCTCTGATGATGTGGCTTTGATGAGGGTTCTATATTGCAGAGTCCCTTATCGTTAAGGAATACTATTTGAAGTCACACCAAAACAGAAGGGACATTGAAAAAATTGCAGGCAGATGTGTAATCCACATGTTCATTTGGTTTGTGTTTTCTCTACAGTCTAAATAACAGTAATGCTTGCATTCTGTTTAAAAATAATTTTTATCCCCGCAACAATTTCACGTATGCTTTTTAAAATTAAAGGTGTCACTTCTTTTGATCTTTAAGCTCTGTATTTACTGATTTTTGAGGTGGCTTTTAAATTGGGTATTCGTCTATGGTTTGACTTCTCTTGTTTTTCTTTTTTTCCTATCCCAACAGGGAAGAAGGTTCTTGAGCTTTTTGTTCAGCTGGAATGTAAACTTCATTAAAATGATACATGGAACCGTTAAAAACCAATTGCAATTCTTTCCAAGGTATGCATCACAGTTAGAGTTCTTAGTGATAGTTAAAAGCTTGGCTGAAGTCTTATTTGTCTCATGCTTTAAAATAGCTAGTATATTGATAAAATATATAAGAATCCAGAGACCTTCAAATCTGCTGAGCATAACTACTGCATTATTTTAGCAACTTCATTTAATAGTTGCTCTGCACATGCCTCTGTGTACAATTACAGGTGCAGTAAAATGCTTATTTAGCATTAACTAAAGCAAAAGACTTTATATAAACTGTGCTGCATTATTTGCAGTGTTTCTGTGAGAATTGCAGGTCCATTTCACCTTCTGTAAGCAAGCTATTTTGTTAAGATTTTGTATAGAGACATTCTAGTAAGAAGTGCCTTGTACGATCATGGCCTGAGGACTTGACTGATGGATGAAAACATGTAGGGTTTGGGTTCTTTTCCTGTAATTATTCAGTAAAATACTGTGGAATAAATTCCTTGTATTAAAATCAGAGGGGGTTTTATGCTTTCAGTTACAATAATGCATGCTTGTACGTTTTTATAAAGAATTGAAGGCATTAATTGTGAGATACATGGTAAAATCTATGCTAATGTTTTGACTTTTCCACCATAAGAGATATTTTGTTTGTTTTTTTCATAAGGCTCGGGTTTATTACTTAACTGTTAACTTTGTGCGTATTAATCAGCGTAGACTTTCACGGTGATTTCATCTTGTAAAAAATAATGATAATGCACAGAATTAAGAATAATATTGGTACTTATCAAAAACTTCATGTTGTTACTATTATGAATTGTACATAGATATGGTTAGGATGCTTGCTTGAATGTGTTTCCCATATGTTCATACAGATTCTTGATGGAATACATTTCAGAAGTTTACTTCAGGGCTTGGAAGAAGGTGTCAGGAGAATTTGTAGAGGTAATATGAGGCTTGAAATTTCATTTAGATAGCAAGGTGGAGAAGATACATGACTTTTCAACCTCAAAGCAGTTCCTAAGGAGGCCTTAAGAAATTATTTCCCTTAGGAAAGGGCCCCTTCAGCTTTGCTGGGGAATAACAGCATGTCACGTTGTCCTGGGTTCAGCTGTAACATTTGTTTTTCTCCTTCTTAGTAGGTGGTGCAGTGCCATGTTTTTCATTAACACGCTAGTTATCTGAGTCATTGAAGCTTTTATTCAGTTATGTGCAAGTCTATATATTTGATAGCTAAAATATTTACCTGGTTCGTGTGGATTTCCGTAGAGATGATCTAAAGCATAGTTACAGCGTCATAACAATGCTACAGCCAAATTTCAGATACCAAAGAATTCTTATTTATTATGTGGAGGTGCTTTTGAATACCAGACTTGGTTCTGAGAATTGGATTAATTGTATATTCTGGAATTTTGAAAATCAGTTTACGGAGACAGAGGCCCATAATGTGGAAATATTTGAGCCAATCAGGAGCCAAATAAGAAATAATATCTGTTATAGACTATGAGATTATTTTCAGTTGTTTGTTTTAGAGGAAAATAAAACTTGTTGCACAGCCTACAGTACTTACTGTTTTATTGTGTTAACAGTAGCGTGTGTATTTTTACTGTAGATACTTGAACGGAATTGCATTCAGGATTTTATGCATCATGGAATTCATCTTCCCAAAAGTTCTCCTGTTCATTCTAAAGTCAGAGAGGTAAGTTACTGTAAAGCATGACATGAACTAGTAGCATCAGAACCATATCAGTGACTATAAAAAATTTCCATTTCATATGGACATACTGTACTAGGTCTGGCTGGAATGGAATTACTTTCCTTCATAAAAGGCTATATGGTGCTGTGGTTTGGATTTGTTGACCAAAACACTGTTGATAACACCAATGTTTTAGCTGTTGCTGAGCAGTGCGTGCATGGTGTCAAGCTTTCTCTTCACTACTGTTCCCTTAGAGAGTAGGCTGGGGATGAGCCAAACAGCTGACCAAACTGACCAAAGGGATATTACATGCTAGATAACATCGTGCTCAGCAATAAAAACAAAGGGGAAGTGTATTTTGTGGAGGTAGCCATTGTTTTGAGACAGGTTGGGCACTGGTGTAGCTGTGGGAGGTGGTGAGTGATTAATTGCATTTTCATCACTTCTTTTGGGCAAGGTCAGCATGGGGTGGTATTGTCCTCCTGCCTTCACTTATTAAACAGTCTTTATCTCAACCTATGAGTTCTCTTGCTTTTCTCTTCCAATCCTCTCCATACCCCATCGAGCAGGGAGTTGCATGAGTGGCTGTGTGTTGCTTAAGTGGTGACTAGGGCCAGCCTACCACAGATACTTGCTTAAAAAGTAGCATTTTCTGAGAAATAATATTAGAACAAATTTTAGGAGGAGCCTGCTTATAATTTTGCACCAGATTTGGCTTTGGTGCTCATAAGTAAAAATATGAGGGAATTTTTCAGAGTGCCAGAAATAGGTTTTGGTGACTCTGCTCAGAGCTTTTCTTTACATGGCAAATTGACTTTTCCATATTCCATCACAAGGAAAAAAGTCATTCACAGGCTTCCCTGTCTAGTTGTAGCTGTGAATACTTGAAGTATTGACTACTAGAGGGTCAACTTCTTTTCAAACTGACCAGTGTTTTGGGTGGGGGAATTACTTCCTATCAAGTTACATGATGTCCTTTCTCATATTCTGCTCTGGTCATTTTCTTTTTTTGTATTTTTGTTTATTTGTTTATTGTCTGCATAATTCAGATTTCAAAATTAAAGGGGCTTTAGTTAACACAGTTCTGAGTCACAAGGTGTGCTAATACATTTTGTATGTATTGATGAAAAGCATGTATTGCATTTACAGATTTGTATTTGGATAACTACAGTTACCAAGTATAATATTCCTTTGTTCTTAACAGAGAAACAGCTTAGTTATCTTTATTTGATAACTACGTGGTTTCAAAGTATTTCTGCCAGCTACTTTAAAACCAGTTTTTTTACTGTAACAAAAAGAGTGGTTCCTGAGAAACTGACTCTCTAGCCATGATTGGATTTCTGATTGTAGATCTTTATATAGATTTATTGAATTTACAAAGTTATAAAATGTGATATTTATTGAATCTGTTTCTTTTTTATGATTTTGGAGACTTTTTAATATAGGGTTAATTAATATGTCTAGTTTTATAATTTTCCATGGTATGGAAAACTTATGTAAAGGCTGACAGACAACTGCCCTCTTCTTGAATGTAGAAAGTACTGTTAAAATTGTTTTTTTTGGGGGGATTGGTTGGTTTGTTTTTCTCAGGTGCTAAGTTATTTTCATAAACAAAGTAAAGTTCGTCAAGGAGTTGAAGAAATGCTCTACAGATTGTATCAACCTATCCTTTGGAGAGCGCTGAAGGTAATTATCCTTTTCAGAAAATATGGCTGTCTTTCTCCATCTACTAGATTTTGTGTGCCTTCCACATGTTCTGATTTTAATAATTACTCTTAAAATGAGTATGGAAAAGAAATATCAGTATGTATAGCATCTCAGCTGTAGTAGATTAACTTTTGAAATTGTAATGAGGCATAGTTTGCACAATAATTTGTTAATGTAATTTACTACTTAAATCCAGTTTTCTTTACAGGTACACAGAGTGCTTTACAGGATTGTAGTAGACAGTGGGACTAACACAGAGTTTGGTATTCTCATCTTCTCAATGAATTTTATGCAATCTGTATTCTTTTTTCCAAGACCTTTATCAAGTGATCAGTGCTTTATTGATCAAAGCCAGAAATGTTCAGAGGATGATTTAGTCTCACATTACGATTAATCACCAGCCTTAAAATACAGCTCGATTAATTTATTAGAACATTATTTTAGAAAACCTTTTATTCTAGTTTAATTGTATGCACAGATGTTCATGCTATGGATGTGTTTTTAATTAAGCATTCAGAATGAAATTTCTGACTTCTAGTACTTTTAAGTTAAGTGTGTATGTCTTCCTGTGGATTGCTTGTACAGACAAAAGGGTACCTACTACCATTTACATACTCAGTTACACTGTATGACTAAGATGAACCAAGCTTCCTTCTTCATGAACACCCTGTATTTCATCTGAGGTTATGAAATTCCTTCAGTATGAGCATATACATTCCATTTGTTACAGCCAAATTAATTGCTGGCAAAAATTTGCCGATTGATCCTATAGCATCTTCCCTAACCATAAGAGAAGTATTTTAAGTTCTCAGAGTTGAAAGTATTACAAAACAACTTCAAAAGTTGTTAGAAATGGATTTTATGAGTTACAGGAAGGAGTTTAGAACTCTTTGGTTTCAGTAGAATCCTACGGTGGAAGTGGGAAGGTGGACAACAGCTCATCACTAGACCAGTATCATGCCTGGCCTTACATTAAGGGTTAGATCCCATTGCTTTTTTTTCCCTTTTTGTTGTTGTTATTTGGGTTTGGGTTTGTTTTTGTTCTTTGTTTATTTTTCTTGACAGCTTTTACATATGTAGTTAAGCACTTTAAGCTTAGACATTAACAGGCATATCACGGAAAATTTGTTTTAATACAGCAAAATAGTCTGCTGTGAACATAGATTTCAGAATGGTAAACGGACGATTGTAAAAATCAAATGCAGCAATTACATGAATCATGTAATGATTCAATGCAAGTTAAGATTCTGAATTCAAAATGATTCACTACTGTATTTGTGATTGGTGAAAAGAGATGTGTGACTAAACATAAAAATTCAGCAATTTATTTTTGGATAGGCCACTGTCTTGCTGTGTGACTTTTGTATAGTTAATTTTTTTGTACAGTACCGGTGAAGTATTAGGCATTTTATATATTTTATAACTGCTGCTGTGATTCAGAAAAAACAACAGTTTAAGATACAGAACTAGGAAGGGAAGCTTATAATTGTCCTTATTGTTATGGATTCTGCTCCAAAGTTTGAAATGTCAGTTGAATTTTAGATAACCAGTTTGATGCTCCTATTTTAGTCAGTGTATAGATCCCTAATTTAATATAGTGAAGAACAAATCTTGCTCTAGAACACTGGTTACAAAACAGAAAGGCAGCTCACAAAGGGACTTCTTTCCCCCTCCTTCCTGCCAAAGAAAAAACACTTCTGGAATACTTTGTATTCTTAGAACCTGAAGTGTTTGTGTTGAAACTACTTGATTTCAACTCTGAAATCTTTAAACTGAGAATGCATATTTGTAATGCATAGTTCTCTTTCTTTTCCTAAATTGCTTGTTTTGCAAATACTTAGATCACGAAGCTTCCTTTGTGGCTTTCATCTACACATTTTATAAGGCATTAAATTTTTTATAATATAAGCCCTTATGTAACTTCTTCTTTTTTCATGTCTTTATTATGAAAAGTAAGTCTCATGAAAACACAGCAGAGATAGTTGTGCAGTGATTGGTTATTAGTATAAAAAGCTGTATAAATATAAAAATATGGATATTTATTGTGAGATAACTAGTGATTAAGCCATTTCTTACCAAGCTCAAAAAGTCAAGAACCACTCCTCTGGGAATTCAGGATGTTGAAGGAAGTGGTTCCTTTAATTTGCTTGTTTCTTTTAAACTAACTTTTACTGTTGAAAACCAGTGTTTTAAATAATTGAAAGTGAATTTCAGGAACTAAGACCAGAGAAACTTAAAAGAAAGCTCTGCAAATGAACTGAATGAAAAGAAAAAGTTGTTTAAAAAGGTTCTGAAAGTTCCTCGTAATAGTACAACCGTAAAGGTAAAGAAATGTTAGTAATTTAAACAGCGGCAGGCTCCGCTTGCATGAAAATGTCAGTGTGGAATAAAAGAGGATATGAATTTAAAGTCCTGGAATTCTATCTCTGTGAAGACATTTACTTAACTATGGGCTTGAATGTGCAAATATATTTGGGATAAATTCCAATTAATTAAAGGCAGGAATTTAAACTGTGGATACTCAGTTCAGAATTAAAATAAGCTTAATGGAATTCAGCGTAATACGTTTAAAAAGTTTATGAAAATTAACTTTCTGGAATGGCTGTCGTAGACAAGGTCTAGGTTATTGCACAAAACCGTACTTGAATTAATTTTCACATGAAAAATTAGTGCAGAAGAACTATTTCACCCTGAATTGACATATTAGCTTGTTATGCATTATCTCTTCAACATAGACAACCTCAGAGTTAAAGGATTTTCAACAGCGTTGTAGAATTGAATTAAGAATTATAATCTTTCCATTTTTAGAATGTATTATCAGTAATAAGTAAAACACAAGTCCCTAACTAAAGAATATATATATGGGCTTTATTTGCCTACTTAGTATTAAATTTAGAATTGCTATTGATTTTATTGGCTCAAAGAATCTGGATTTATTTTTTTTTTCTGCCCAGAGATGTGACCCATCATATGAGGATAAATCGAGAAGGAAAATACAAAATCAATTGTAAATGAAGTAATTGTTGCTCATTTATTTTGTGTAGTTTGGTTTTTATTTGCCATTAGTTTATTTAGTTCTAAGTCTTATATGGTTATCCTTGTTTTTCTTTTCCCTGTCTTTTATCTGAATGTCTCTTATGACAAGCGAAAAAGAAAATTGGATTAGAGTAGTCAGGAGGTTCCCTGAACTGCCTTTTGTTCTGCTGTTAAAATTAAGCTTACTTTTCTTGTTTTATTACCGTGTTTGTGTATATATATCGTCTCATATACATGCACACACTTGTTTTAACTTGAACCCAAAGTTCTTTCCCTCTTCCTGTCAAGAGACGACAGCAAAGGCTCTTATCATTGTACCGCTTGCTGTCTTTGATACATACAGTGTAGCCTGATGGTTAGATTACAGGTTTCTCCCTGAGATGCCTTGAATTTCATCTTTTCTTCATTTCATTGCCTGCTCTCTTTTTCTGTCCTCTAAGAGCTCACAAGGCCAATTATTTTTCACTGACTGTCTAAATACGCACTTTTTTTCATTTTTCTTTACATTTGGATCTCTATAACCAGTGAAAACACATTGAGAACTATTACAAATGGTAAAATGTCTGAGGGTTATGAGGCTTGTCTTAGTTTTTTGATGTGCTTCCTGGAGCTCAGAATATGGTCCTATTACTTATGTGCATAGAGCAGAACTGAATATGCTTATGTTGTGTAAGTTACTCTCCAGGCTTGCTGGTACTTAGTTTCTAAATAGTGTTTTCTTGAAGAAATAGGCTTCAGCTTTTCAATTAAATCACCTGTCTCTAGGCAGCATTTTAATTAATTCAGTCTGCTTGAATTCAAGATTCTTGTATTCTGAAGAGGATCTTTAAGTTCACCAAGAGAAATCCCAACTGCTTTTAATTTACTCAGCATTACAGAGAGAGAAGGGCTCAGAGTGTGACTCTTCATGGTCATTGAAATTGATATGCTTTGAAATCTGATTGTATCAATAACTCAGGTTTTACTGAATGGGAAAAATGTAAGGTAAAAAAAAAAAGAAGTAAATCGTATGTTACTCTTAAGTTCTTCCATACATTTTAAAATTCCTCTCTTCCATACATTTAATTAAAACCACCAACTTGATAAAAGTGTTTGGAGCCCAGTATTTGACAGGATATGCTTTTTGATGTTAACAGTCTGTGCTTATTGATAGAATTTTTTTCCTTCATTGTAACAGGCCAGAAACTCAGAAGTTCGATCAAATGCAGCATTTTTATTTGTTGATGCTTTTCCTGTTCATGATCCCAGTTTTAACACTGAAGAGATGAACACTGAAATTCAGAAACAGTTCGAAGAACTTTTTGTAAGTTCTAATGAAACTAAAATGTTAAAAATGAGACTTTCACCAAAGCTAACTCAAAAATAAGCTTTTGATGAAATTAGTATTTATAGAATTTCTGAGTAGTATGCATAGGGGAATACAGGCCTATGATGCAGAAAGTACAAAAATAATACTTTTGAATTTCTGTAGTATGTTCACAACAGATGATATGCACCATTTTCAATGCTGAAAAGCTAATATTTAAGATTGTTATTTATTAATCTGTGAATGAAAGATGCTTTTGAAAGATTAGATGCATGGGTAATAGATCTTTATCCTTAATGTAGGATTGAAGAGGGCTTTACAATTAATATGTATACATTCAATGGAAATTTACTAATGTATTGCTGAATGCTTCTGAAATGAAGTATAATGGAGATAAGAACCTAAAAGACCAGTCTAGATGGGTGAGAGTTGGCATGGTATTTTCCTTAAGAAAATGTTTGGGAAATCCTGAGTATGGCCTTTAAAAAGGTAAACATCAGATAACTGAAGGAATTTCCAGGGTTTTTATATTGTTGCATAGGAACAGTGACCAGTTTAAACTCATATATGTCTAAATATTCTTAATTAGGTCACAGGTTCAAGACTAAATGTGAGCTATTAAAAAAAAAGTATTTCAAAAGTCCAATAAAAGAAAAGAATTGCCAATATTTGTCTTAATTTTGCTTCTGATTTAAATTTCCTAGTTTGCTTCATAATAAAATGCCTTCAGGGAATATTAATATTACATTTCTTTCATAGTATGAAAGAATATGCATAATCATTAAAAGGTAATGGAATGCTATTTGTTAGGTTACTGTCAAACAACAGTAGAGTCACAATACTGTTCTCACATTGTTCTTCTTCTTTTTGTTTTAGAATCTCTTAGAAGATCCTCATCCAGTCGTCCGCTCTACAGGGATACTCGGAGTTAGTCAGATAACATCCAAATACTGGGAGATGATTCCTCCAACAATTCTTGCTGATCTCTTGAATAAACTAATTGGAGAGCTGGCATGTGATACAACATCTGCGGATGTTCGATGCTCTGTTTTTAAAGTAAATCTTTTCTTCTAAATTTAAAATCACAGTTATCACTTCTATATTTTACTTGATACACAGATTTCTAATACAGGCCACTTTAAGTCGAGGAAATTACTCTGCAAAATTACTTAGTATAGTTCCTAATACAGGCAAGTTTTGCGCATGTTTTATGAAAGCCACATATTTGGAATGAACAAGTCCTTTTAAATTAGTGACTATTTGGTTTTTAGTCAACCAGTTTGCATTTTCAGTCTTAGATAAATTGTTTAGACCAGATATTTTAGTTATTTTAGCTATAAGACATTATGTTTAGACTTGGAAATATATGCAGGCGGGTTCCAGGATGTTTCTATGTCACTGGTTTTAACCCATCCCAAGACATACATGAATATGTTATGCTATTGTACCCTAACTTTGTGTTTCTGAGGTTTGGATGAATAAAATTACATACTGTTTCTTTGTGAATTCCCGTGCATTGTTCAGTATGTTAGGATTAGTTTATCTAGATCTGTCTGTCGTCTGGTAAATAAAGATTAGTTTGGACAGAAAAACAGACTCCCTAAGCATTATTTCACTTAAAAGTTCTGTGTATGTGGCAATTCAGGCTTAAATTGGAGCTATCTTCATGTTAATCATCAGTTGCTCCACTCCAGCTGTGTGTGGGGTCTATATGGGATAAGCAGAAGATGCTGATTTGAAAAGAACTTTACCAAAAAAAAGACACACTTTTAGTCAGAAATTGGCAGAGTTAAAGGAGTTGGTATTGCTGCCAAAAAAAGTACCTGACACCATGCCCTCAGAATAGAAGGCAAGGCTGCGGCCTCAGTGTGGCTCTAAAGCTGCTCCATCTGAAATGAGTTCCCTAAGCACAGTTCACTGGAAATGTGAAATCACCATAGTAATTTTTACTGAAGAATATTACAAGAAAATTATGCATTCACAGTGTCTGTTCCTATTTAATTTAACCTTACAAGTATCATGGTCCCGTTCAACAATTTTTAATTACATCTTTTTTTCATATCTACTCATTTATTTATTTATTTGGCATAATTTTGGGTTTGTTTTTTTTTTTCCTTGCAGTGTCTGCCGATAATTTTGGACAACAAACTAAGTCATCCATTACTGGAACAGCTCCTGCCAACAGTCAGACACAGCCTTCATGACAATTCAGAGAAAGTGCGAGTGGCTTTTGTTGATATGCTGCTGAAAGTTAAGACTGTCAAGGCTGCCAAGGTAGGATAGGTGACACTTGATATGTAGCAAGGAGGAGACAAAATCAAGGCATTTATTAAAAAAACTCCTACAACAGTACCTTTTGAGATTTCTGCAGTACTGCCAAGAGGAGAAAAAGAATACACACTTAATGTAGTAATACTCTTAAATTCAGGTTTTCCCTTCTTCATATATTTAAGTATATTTATTTCTAAGACCTGTGGATTCTGTTGCCATTAGTCACTTCTGTCATTTTAAAGGTTTTGATCCAATGACGGTAGTAGTAAAGAAGTACTTCTTTCCACTGACATTCTGATTTCTACTGAAATCATGGTGACTGTGAAAAATCTTTCAATATAAATAAATTGTGACTAGTGCTGCTGAGCTTTCGCCTTTCCATAGTTGTTCTTCACAAAAAAGTTAACCATAGGAGATAGTATTGTGTCTGCATATTACTACAGCAGGGATTTTATAGACATGCTGGGAAGTTTACCTTTTAGTTGAGCAAAATGAATTCTTCTCTTTTCCCTTTCCCCCGCATTTTTGACTAGTTTGGAATGATTAATAGGTCCAGTGGCTTCTCTGTGCCTGCCTACTTGTGTTTAGTGGCTGCTGGTATCAACAGGCACTATCAGATTAAAATTGCCAGTGCTATAGATGTACACCCTGATCTGTCTGTTTTTTAAGAGCCATGGCTCTGACCCAGCAAATTTTCTGTTCTTAACCCCAAACAACTTTAGGCTTTCTCTGCTACCAGCTCTAACCTCAGGCTTTTTCTCCCCTGTAAGATGCAGATTCGTTAGCTGTGTCTAAAATGAATAAAGCATAAATGGTAATCATTCACTGGCCTTGAGACCAGCTAGCCTGGCTGGTTGGGTCTGCATGCTGTAATGTGTGCCCTGGTGTCCTCTGTGCATGCTGTCCTCCTGACTGCCTTGGATTGGTGAAGCGGGGCCAGTCTCCAACTCAAAAACACTAACAACTAGTAAGTGGTCTGGGACCCAAAGCCTAGGCTTATTCCCTGACGCTTTTATTTAGCAGTGCAGGCATTTTTTCCCGGCATGTTTCTGCCTTCCCTGCCCTCTCGTGGCCATGCCAGGGTAGAGCAGTAGATACAGCCATCCTCCCTTCCAGCTGACTAGCTCAAGTCAGGCCTCTTATTACCTTTTAAATGCTTGATGACTTTACCAGATTTCCTTTTTAGTTGTATTTACCTATTTTTTTATCACTTCTGTTTGCTTTCTGTGGCCGTGGCCTTTGAGATTTTGATATTTTTTTTTACAGTGATTTTGATCTAACTTTGTGTTCTGCTGTGGACTCAGATTTAGGATGAGACTGTTCAGTCTTAGGCATTATAGCATCTTTGAACTCTTTCTCTACTATCTGCTGTTAATGGTTTCCTACTGTCAATTTTATATTTTATTTTAGTGTGGTTTTGCCTTTGCTAAGCTTAATTATTAGGACATGGTTACCTTATGCTAGAAACATATGCTGTATATGAATTCAGAGGTCTCTGTTGTTCAGAAATTAATTAAATACTTGGTTTGTCGAATTTCTAAGGCTTCAGTGCTCAAGAAACACATCTATCCTTTTCAAGAGAATTAACTACTTGTCAAACATGTGCGTTCCGGCTTTGATGACAGGACTTCAAAGGCATGTATTGAGATTAGACCATCTCAGTACCTTCCAAATTCCCCAGAATGCCACAGAAGACAAGATAAATGGGAGATGATTTCAGAATTTAGAGCTTTTGGTTTCTTGCACACAGGTTCAGGATAAGGATTACAATAATGTAACAGCAATTTTGGCACTTCCATAAAACATACATTAATGCATTGCTTAGGCAGGTCAACGGAAAATGTGAAAAAGAGACAAACACTGCAAGTACAAGGTATTGTCATTCAGATTGTCAGCACAAAAAGTTGCCAGCAGGATCCTAGTAATGTTTGCAGATCTGAGATAAACAGTGTGCAGCTGAACCTTTACTTGGAGAATTGGTTCTGGTTCTGGCCTTCAATTGCTATGTTACAAATAAGCTAGTGCTCTGCTAATGGGATGCACCTCTGGTTTGGGATGGATTTGGAAAGGGTTTTGTTCTCTGCGGGTTTTTAGGGTGCATACCATACTTGTAGTAGTTGGTCCTACATTGTCCAATGATGATATGAAAAATAGCGCATAATGACAAATAATTATGTTTTGTAGTGATATCCTTATAGAGTAAATATTTCTTGCCTATACCTTTGGAATTGCATTAGCATTGCAAGTATCTTGAGGTGGAATTGCTTGAACCAGAATTTTACTGGTCTGAGATAATAGCAAATTTAGAGGTGTGTCAGAGCAGGAATGTAGCATTGTTATGGAAATATGTGACCTCAAGTAAATGCTGAGATATTGGTAAAAATTAAAAATGCTCATGCTTTCTGATAAATGTTGTTTTTATTTGTTGAGACTTTTGATATGGACAACACTTAATAAAGGTGATTGTTTTTTCTTCTATCCTTTTAATTCATTTAAATATCTTTTTTGTTTTAAAAAGTTCTGGAAAATCTGTCCTATGGAGCATCTTCTGACTCGTCTTGAAGTCGATTCACGGCCTGTGTCACGACGCATAGTGAATCTCTTATTCAACTCTTTCTTTCCCATCAACCAACCTGAGAGTGTGTGGTGTGAGCGCTGTGTTACTCTCATCCAGATGAATTCAGCAGCAGCTAGAAAGTTCTATCAATATGCTTATGAATATACTGCCCCTACCAATATAGGTAAAGTACAAAACCTCAAAACCTTATTAGTCTTTGGGAATACCAATATCACACCATGTAATTGATTTTTCATTTTTTTCTCTTAACAGTGGTATGTTTCTAGGTCTTTTGGTTTTAGTATAATATTAGTTTGTAGGTTTTGAAATTCTTGACACCAGCAGTGAACCCTGCTGACACCAGTCATAAGCTTCTTCAACAATTAAGACCCCATGGCTTTTAGTTTCTGTTAGGTGCTGTGTTATACTCTCTAGGTGGTGTTATCAGGTCTGTCTTTTCCCCTTTCTTCTCACATGTACCTTAAAACTGAGCCGATATTTATTTATCATGCAGAATTAAGTAAAATACCTTGGTACCTCAGGTGATCTGAGATCTTTATGTGGAAGATTCTATAGAAGGTGAAAAATATTTATGTCTGATAATCTGGTTATCTGGGATCTGTGGATCAGTAGTATTTCCAGGTTGCTCAGAGAGAATTTAAAAGCCTTCTTTCTTGTTAAAAGCTTGAGAAACTTTCAATGAAGAGGGTATATACTGCACATAGTATAGTTACTTTTTTAAAAGTGCTATTGAACGAAGTAATACTGGAAAAATTCTAATACTACAAAAACAAAGTAACTTGGGTGAATGGCCAGGCCATTGCACCTTTTCTGACTACCTTGGTAAAGTTGCTCTGAAATAAATACACTAGCACATGTTCAACTAGTCATACTTTCACCAGACATAACCCTTTCACTGGCATCTAGAGATGAGCTCCTCATTAGGGAGTGCAATGATTAGGCTACTTCATCTTTTATAATGAATTGAAATTGACATTGGAGAGGATGCATGATTCAACGTAGGTCATTAAATTAATATCTGTGCCAGATGAATATAGGAGTTGTGGGAGCTTCCTCTGATCCTGATTTGATAAAGTGGTGGTTGGTTGTTGTTGTTGGTTTGTTGGTTTTTTTTTTTGTTTGTTTGTTTAGCAGACCTTTTTAACAATAAAATTATAGAACCTGATGATAATGTTGCCTTTTCTTCAGATTTGGGGATTTAGAAAATTTTCACATTTTTTCCACTTCCTTTTACTTGGATTTTTTTTTCTTTTTTTCATAGTTATTTCTGGTTCTGTTGTCTGCTTTTCCCTACTGACTTTGCAGCATTACACTTGGAGGCATTTACTAGCAACATTCTTAACAAATGGTAAATGTCTAATTTTCTTATTATATTCAAATTAGCTAAATTGATGCTTACTATTCGGCGCTGCTTGAATGCCTGCATCCAGAAAGCAGTGAAAGAGGATCTTCATGATAGTGATGATGATGACGGTGGTGAAGATGAAAGTGAAAAGGAGAATACAAGTGTAAGAAAGTCTACTTTATGATAAGTTCTGGTAACTTTTTTACTGTGGTGCTAAATTGGAGACATTAGCAGTTAATGATATGACAGAAATCTAAAGGGAAGCACTTGGACCTATGTGGAATTTAGAAGGGGAGAACTGTTGTTATGGTGTTTTCATGCCCTGCAATAGAAGAAATTTGGTGAAGTAGCTAGAATAACATAGAAGGGATATGAAGAATATTTGAAATTAATATTTCCCTAATTCCACTACTAGTTATAAATTGGTTTTGTAGTTAAATTATTAAAAATTTAGTGTCACAAAATGACTCAAATTATATACAGAGAAGGAGAGTAAATAGAGTTCATGTTCTACAACAAACATAATGCCTTTGGGAAATCAATAGAAAGATTTTCATTGGTTTTTGAAACCTTATTTTAACCTAAATTTATATTTGAGAATATAGCAGGTAATACCATCTAAGTGTTTGTGTTTCAGGTGTTGAATAATGTGTTGTCAATCAATGATGTGGCCAGCATGGCAAGTTTATTGGAGGTTACTGTAATTCTTTGGAGAAGTATCCACAAAGCACTAGATCAGAATGAAGATGCCAAAGATTATGCTATCAGAAAATTTGCTGCTGTACTTCCTGAATATTTTAAAGTGTTTAAGGTAAAAAAAGCCTAGATTTACCTGTGAGTGCTTAGTATTTTCTTCAGGTGCTTTCATGTGTTACGTCTTTAATCTGTTCTCATGGCGTTAATTGTTCTTTTTCATTGTTGCTATAAACCATATACAGTAGCAAGTTTCTTGGAATTCCACAAGTGGGTAGAAGCTATTCTCCAGGTGCAATATCTGACCAGTGAACAGTTATCTAAATAGTCAACACAGACATAATTATGCAATAAATTTCTCACCTTGTAATGATTTTATAGGATTTCATTCTTTTGAATCCTTTCTGGACTTTTGGAAATCAGTAATTGAAAATGTGCCATTGCAGAGCAAATACTCAGTGTACATGTGAGTTTACATGTTTTTCTACCCACTGTACCCCCCCAACTCTTCCACCACCACTTCTTACTATGATCCAGCCCTGGAACAGACAGCTAAAACAGCTGAGGCCCCCTTTTCACTTTTGTGTGACTGGTTTCTGCTAATTTGATTCTAGTCTCTAACAATTTTTGGTGCACTTACTTATTGTTTGGGTTTGATATAAGCAACTAATAAAAATCACTCATTTTCATCTTTTCAGTTTCTTTAATTTGTTTAATTGTTCTAGTGTTATTCTTCAAGATGCTGTCTTTTGATAGCGGTTAATAGTGTCTGCTGCACCCTGTAGAGCATTTGGAAGGGTAATCTACTGGCCGTCTTTTTTTTTTTTTTTGTTCCTGGCTTTTATACTGAAATATAATTATATATATATATATATATATATTTATATATATATATATATGCTGACTGTTATACTTAAGGTTCAAGTTTTCTTTAGATAATCAAGAAGTGTAAAGCGATTCATTGGTACATAATAAGATGCAGCACACCTGTAGAAAATGCTTTCTCTACCCTGAAAGCATCTGGAATTTGTCAAGGACATTCTAAATTTTTTCTGGCAGAGTATGTAATATCCCTCCTGAAAGGTGCTGGTGAGCAGGCATGACATCCAGCTTTAGGAAGAAACCTTTTTGAGTCTGATACTCTTAAAGTGAGTAAGCAGCTTGGTTCTGAAAAGACCTGTCATCAGAGGCTTAATTTCTAAAAGACTGCAGGTTGAAGCAGCATGTCTATTTCCTGAAAAGCTACAAATACATTTTTAAGTGTTCTTTTAAAAGCCATTGTTAAAAGGTTTTAGATCTTCAAATGCCCTAGTCTTTCACATGGATTGGTTTCTATATAACCTGAATGAGACTATGTCATGGCCTAGACCTTGTATTACGATGAGTTGTAATGATTTATAGTGCATTTTACATTACCATTGTTACATAAGCCCATTTTCTTTTGAGTCTTTTGTATGAATTTCTGATGTGAATGAATATTTATTTAAGGCAGTAGTTACTCGAGAGGAGTTAGATGGTGTTGTGATTGTGCAATTAAGTACTAGCCACTATTAGAAAAAATGTAAGCTAGAGCTGTTATTTCTCTTGCAATGGTTGTTAATGTAATGGGAGGCATAATTATTCATGGTAGTTGCTCTGACAGTTTGTCAGAAAGCTGAATGATAAGGTAATTGATAATTGACCTCTGAGGAAATGAATCGGAAGTTTCAGACTGCTCATAGTATGTTGTTATGAGCTGCTTTCAATTTCATTTCTAGAGAAAAAAAGGAAATCCTTAATTTGAGATAATTTAATCATGCTTTTTTGGTACTCTTTTCAGTTTGGTGTGTATGTACCCGTACATGTACATCATAGAGTGTATTTTAATTTTTAATCCTAGGATGAGCGTTGCACGACTCCACTGGTTATTCTGGCATCCTTTATGCCCCCTGCTGCTATTCCAACATTCAGGTACTATGTTTAAATCCAAAATATTAATGACAAGAAATCTGATTGACTGTACTTGTTAATTTTTCACAACTCCATGTATTAAATGTCCAATTGGATAAATTTATCTGCTAAACAAATACAGTAAGTTAGTAAAATTCGTGAGGTGCAAATATGTCTGAGCCATTGGCAGAGCTTTTTTTGGTATTATGCTGGTTGGTTTTGTTTGAATTGTTGCTGAGCTTCTGGATGTAAAGCTAATGCATCTCTGTTTGTTTTCAAGTTGTGGTGTGATCTCCAGGCTCAGAAATATTGACAATGGAGCTGATGAAAGCAAGTATTCTACCCTGATAGACTGCATGTGTCGCTGGGGTCAAGTGGGGCATATTATGGAATTAGTCTGTGATTGGCTGTCGGACACGCTCACCCGAAGAAAGGTGCGCACTTGCATGCATCAAAGAATTAAGGAATTTCTAGATTACATAAAGGCATTGTGCTTTTCAATAGAAGAGGCCTCTTTCATGCTGTATTATTCTGCTTTGGAACTAGTTGTGAAGTAAGATAGTAACAGTATTGTACTGATTTTGTGCTTTCCTCTCATTTAGAGTGCTAAAACATCTGAACGACGAGTACGTATTCATATAACGCATGAATCGAAGCCAGAATTAGCAATTGATTACATTGAATATTTATTGACTCATCCTGTTAATCGTGATTGCCTACTTTCTGTTCCTGAAAAGAAACTGAAGAAGCTTTTGAAAATTCTCAGTGCTGCAAAGGTAGTATTTTTCTTCCCATCTTATGAGTGCTTAACATAGAATCATAGAATAGTTAGGGTTGGAAAGGACCTTAAGAACATCAAGTTCCTAGCCCCTTGACATGAGTAGAGACACCTCACACTAAACCATGTCACCCAAGCCTCTGTCCAGCCTGGCCTTGAACACTGCCAGGGATGGAGCATTCACAACTTCCTTGGGCAACCCATTCCAGTGCCTCACCACCCTCACAGTAAAGAACTTCCTCCTTATATCCAATCTAAACTTCCCCTGTTTACGTTTGAACCTGTTACCCCTTGTCCTATCACTACAGTCCCTAATGAAGAATCCCTCCCCAGCATCCTTACAGGCCCCCTTCAGATACCGGAAGGCTGCTGTGAGGTTTCCACACAGCCTTCTCTTTTCCAGGCTGAAGAGCCCCTACTTTCTCAGCCTGTCTTCATACGGGAGGTGCTCCAGTCCCCTGATCATCCTGGTGGCCCTCGTCTGGACTTGTTCCAACAGTTCCATATTCTTTTTATGTTGAGGACACCAGAACTGCACACAATACTCCAAGTGAGGTCTCACAAGAGCAGAGCAGAGGGGCAGGATCACCTCCTTTGACCTGCTGGTCAAAAAAACATTATATAGTGCCTAGAATTAAATTAAAGGCCTGCAAGAATAAATAAATAACATTCACAATCTCCATTTTCCCTCTCTGAAAAAGCTTTCCTTCTGATTTGTACTTCAAACAAATATTCCAAACTAGAAGTATATTAAGTTCAGAATTTTTTATAGATGGCAGGTTTTAAGCAGCTTGTCATTTTTAGGTGTCTCAAAATTTTTGTAATCCAGTGTTGAGCATTCTTAAGGGACCTGTCTTCTGGAATATGCCTATAAGAATTAGTCTGAAGATCAGTTCTGGCACTGCAAAATGATAGTAATTGAAAGTATGACTGTTGGGGTTTTGGGTTTGAAGGTGTTTTTTTTTTGTGGTTTTGTTTGTTTAATCTTTCCTTTAAAGCTGTTGAGAAAAGAAACAATTGAAAGGATTTTCAGGAAAATATAAATGTAAACCTTGATATTTCAGGAGGTTCTTGGCTCAATTCTGAAAGCAACCGATGCAGGTTCTGGTAGCTGCAGTCAAACAACTGCCCTAAGAGCCTTCAGCCTCTATTGCAGGTTGAATATTCATCTTCAGAACAAGGTATAGTTATACCTTTTCAGTATAAACTGGAATTGCAGCTGACAATGTAAGGAAATTGCAAAAGTATTGAAAGACAATTAATATTCTTCCTTTTTTTTTTTCCAGTTTTCTGAAAATGGAAAAGATTACTTATCACTTCTGAAGGAGACAGGTACTTGGATAGAAAGTCAAGTTCTAACTTTTATAGTAGCAAGCGATCAAGAGGATGACATTTCAAAACGCAGTAATGTTCCTGAACTAATTATCCAGGTTAGAGGTCTCTTATTGCATAAATCAAACTGTTGCCAATCTGAAAAGCTGTAAATATTGCAATTGTATACTGGTGGTTTTGGAGCCCAGCAAGTAAGTAAGCTAGTAAAACAGAGAGTTCTGATCTGTGCTTTTGCTATTCCTCTGATTGCTTAAAATCACAAAATTTGTCTTGTGTGTTTAGTTATAACCATTATATTTTATAAATACGTGCTTACCCTAGCAATTAAATCAGGTAGTTGGCATCAACAATACAATATTCTGTTCTTATTTAGACTTTTTTCACCTACCAGTGCATGACATATATTCTCATCGTATCTGTTGAAGTGAGGGTGGAACATGTTTCATGTTTCACACTTGTGAAAATGCCCACTAAAGAAACTTCTAGCACAGCAGGCGATGTAACTTGGGTGTCCTAAATTTTAGGTTTCTAACAATTCTTGTCCTCAGTCTCTCATCCCCCATATTAAATAAAGGTCATGTTTATGCTCTTTTATGGAAAAGTGCATTAACATAGAGTTAAGATTGCAACTGAATCTCCTCTGAAAAGAATATTAGTTGCTGAAAACAAGGGGATAACTGAGTGGTGTGCTACCTCTTAATAGCCTATTCTTCTTAGTGCAGAAGGTCCTGGAAATGACAGATTCACTTCAGCTGTGTAGATTGTGTTGAATAGCACAATAGAAGCTAACTTAGAGGACCAGGAAGGTGGTGTAATTATGAGAGAGGATTTAGATCCAACAATGTTTGCTGGCTTGCTTCTTACCTTCCTTCCTTTCCTTCCTGCATTTCTAGAAAAATTAGATAAAATTATACCCTGAGGAATTCAGTATACTTTATACTAGTGCTGAGTCTCATAAAACATCTTTGGAAGTCAGCAGAGAGGTAGGGTGTGAGTTACCTGGGAACTTAATAATGAGGTCAGTCTTGTACTACGTCCCACTGCTGCAGCTTTTTGAAAAGTGTAAAACATAGTAAACTCAAACAAGTGCTGTAATTGTTCCTGGTACAAGTTTCTTGTGGTTTATGTGTTATTGTGTTACAAGAAAAATTTATTATGCATATCATAACTCTTCTATGGCTCTTTTTTCTAAAGTTTGGAGGTACAGAACTCAAATGTTATAGAAAGGCAAGATACAAAATAGGGAATCTTTACCAGCATTACCAGACTGTTTATGATAAATTTCCTAGGTTTGAATACAAAATGAAAATGAAACTTTATCAATAAAGCAATAAGCTAGGCACATGTTACCTGTAAACCCATCTGACATATTATTTGACTAGCCCATAATGAAGGAAAATGATCTTTACTAGTAACTCTTAAAGTCCATTTGCGTCGTTATTTCCAGAGAAAAAAACTGAGGTGTAAAGGCTGATGTGGCTTGTCTGGAAGTCAAGAAGAGAATCCAGGCCTCTTGCATCTCCTGTAATAAGCCACATGCTTGTTAAGGAGCTCCTATTTGCTTCTCACCTTGTATACTGTTTCTTATTGGAATGAGGTATTGATTGTGCTTTTTAATAGCTTTGGAGTGTATATTTGGTAACAATACGGGCATTAAAATCAGACCTAGTTTGTCTCCAAATATCCATATAATATACAATAATTATAGTTTCTTCTTTAATGCTCTAGTATGTGAGAGGGGACTGGGGTGTTTCTTTGCACTTATGTTTCTCTATCACTTTTCCCATGACATCCTGTTTTTTCCCATTTCACCCTTCCTTCTCTGCTTGGTCTGTTACTGTTTTGCACTAGTTGTTATGGGCAGGAACTGACTGGGGGATTTGACTCTTTAGGCCACTGATGTGATGAGTGGGGCTGATAGACCCTCTGACACAAACCCCAGTGTCATCACTGACAGTATCCCTTACCCCTTATCTCCATTTATCCTTCACAGAAAACACTTGATTACGTAATGGGGGAAGGGATGTGCGTTCAGCTAGTTTTGAATTGTTTTCTGTTCCATTCCCCTGTCATATCAATTAACCCAAGGTGGATTTTAGCATTGAGCTATATGACCTTTCAGATTTTGGTCAACAGAAAGCTTTGGACTAACTTAAATCACAGACAGTGTCCTTGAACAACCCAGCTCATGTATACTAGACTGGTTAAAAATTCTCTACTCTACTCTGTCTATACATTAATATTATAATCTGTTTAGTATGCAACGTGTATTTCTGTAGGGAAAAGCTCTTTTTATATGCTGTTTTTAATTTTGCTGCTCAAGATAGGTAGAGATGTTGTATTCTGCCTTGGTAAATGTTAAGTATCAATGCCTCTGATCTAAGTGTGATTGAAAAAGGCAGAGGATTTACTGCCTTTTGAGAAACTGCATTTACTGGAGGAAAGGGCAATGGAAGCATCTGGAGAACTGTTTGAAAATCCTGCTTTTCAGAGGCTGAAAACTGAGTAACTCCAAGTAGATGCACCAGCTTTCAGGGAAACTGGGCTAAGATTTTGCGGTTTCCTTACTTTTAGGTTTTACTAAATAGTTACTTTATGTAAATTTTGTTTCTCCTACACTTTTGCATCTCTTTTCTAGGCCTACCTGACAGTATGCAAAGATGTCATAATGGTCGGCCTTGGAAATGTCGCATTTCAGGCACACCTTTTAGATATGGCTCTTCCAGTTATACAAACAGGTACAGTATTTTGTACTAACATAGATGTCTCCTTATATGCTTAGCTGACTTTCCTTGTATTAGCATAACTGTTGCTTTTAGCATTTTGAAGTCTGTTTCTTAGAAGATGGTGTTTGCAGCTTACACTTGCTAGTACCAATAATACAATCAAAAGTGACAGCAGTTTTTCAGAAAACTGAAAAAGAGCAAAGAACCAACCCAGAACCATGTCACTGTTGATAACTTATGTTTCTTCCTTGCTCTCATATTCCAGTTATTACTATATAATTCAGGGAGGCTTATATAAAGTGGAGTCTTAATATATCCCTATAGTGATACATGTATATTGAGATATATATATTGGTATGCCTTAGGAGACAATATTGTAGCAGTATTGAAATTTGGCTCACATTTGGAAAGTTGTCTGTGGTACAGACAGAATTAGAGCTCAATTACTTAAGAAACCAGCAATTTTAATCCCCGTATGTCAAGGATTGGAAGGAACACTGGATTTATACTGAAAATATTGATTGAACTGTATGAAAATTTCAGATAAGGATGCTCAGAAACTATATATATCATCTACACTTGTAAACTGTAGCTATTTATGGTATATAACTGAGTTTTTCAGTCTAAGCTTGTACCTGAAGAATATCTCAATATCTCATTGTAATTTTTATATTGTGGTGTTTATCTCTTTCTCTAGAGAGAGGTGGCTTTTGTGCTCCAGTGGTATTCTATGCTTTAAAAGAAATTATTGAAGCTTCTGTAACTCAGAATACTGACACAGATGAAATGGCAAATCTTTTCAGTGCTGTACAGACCATCTTCCAGAAAGTTTTAGAACTTGTGGCATGTAGACTCAAGAAACAGCAGGAAGAAGGGATTCAGGTATCCTATTATACTTGTAATTGCTACCTAATGTGGAGATGAATCCATACTTTTTATACTAATGGGTTATACTTAAACACTTTGAGGTTTTTATTGGAGTTGACATCTGATTACATTTTCAGTTAAATTTAAGTTTCCTCATTACCAGTGGGGTTTTTTAATCCATCGTTGGTCTCATCATGCCAAAAACTAGTAAATTGGAGAACAATGCATTGTTACAAATGATCCAGAACTATATTAGTACTCATAGGTTATTAATCTTACCTGCAATTAAATGAACTTTCTGAATCCAGAGCAAAGAAATTTATTATGCGTTATGATTTTGGGAGGGAGGAGAAATTGTTGTTATTTTATTTCTTTAAGCCTGAATGATATCAGCTTTAATATATGCATGATGTCCTGAAGTTCTTCAAAACCTCCTCTCTTCACTGAAAAGTTAGCATTATTTTGTTTGTTTCTCTTAAATTTATGAGTAGACTTCCCAAACATGCTGATTCCCTCTCTTATCCCAGGTGACTGGGATACTTCAGTAGCTTTCAAGGTGTGATCTGCTCTTCTTCACAGAGAAGCTTGCTAAAATATTTCAATTATTCTCAAGCAGTCTGAAAAAATCAGGTCTGTTTTTCTTTGGCTGTAGTTGATTCACTCTATTCAAGTGCCTCTTGGAGAATTTATACATGCAGTCCAGTGCTGGCATTCATTTTGCCCAGTGGTTCATCAAGGTGTACTCTCTACTCTCCTGGCTGCGATAGTAGCAGAGATAAATCATGTGCTACAGGAGGTAAAGCGCTAACTTTTTTTGTTGTTGTTTTCCCACTTACTGCTTTTTTAAATGTTACATTGGAACAACAGAATATACAGACAAAGGTTACTGTATGTGCTAAAAAGTCCAAGGAACCATTACTGTCCTTGAAGAAGGGTAGCATTCCCAGTGCATGTTCCTAATGCATTTTAGGAGCAAATACGGATAGTAAGATTGGAAGCTTTGTGAAGTAGCAAGGAAGAGCAAAGGTTCTTTAGCAGGGGCTGTACTCTTACTGTGGTTGCTAGATAAGGCAGAAATGAAGCAATAAATGGTTGCCAGAAAGTACCAAGTATAACAGAGCTGCTTCTAAAATTCTGTGTTTCAGAAGAAACTGAAACAATAGCAGGGATTTGCATGTAAATATTAATGTATCAGCTAAGGGGCTGTGGGATGATAGCATGCTCTTCACAGATGCTGCATAGTTAAATTGTATGGTCTTGAATGATACTGCAGATTCATACTCTTACATTAGGAATGTTCCCCACAGGAAGTTATCTTAGCTGGGTTTTTTCCTGCCCCCAGGTTATTGCACTAGTAAATCAAAATTCAATTCTTATTAAATACTTGCCACATTATTCAGAACTTGATACAAAAAGAGCTGGTACAGGAAATGAGGAAATCACTGTCACCTAAAGTATTTTTTGAAATTATGTATGCACACCTCAACTTGGAGACAAAGAGGATACTAGTCTGTGTTTCTTAGGCTGTGCCTTTATAAGTAGTGACCAACAATGTAGTTAAATGAAACTTCTATTCAGAACAGCTCTGTAGAATATTTGCCTTGATAGAAATACTGGTTATTTGGTTTAGATTTAGCCTCTCTAAATGTGTATTGTTTATTTGGACACAACAGAATTGGATTAAGGCTATCTGAAGAACACACATAAATGTTTCTTCTGATTGTTTAAGAATACGTGTTGTAATTATTAAAATACAGATTTGCTTTGATGTTTTCTGCATACATATATTTCTTGATTTACAACAGTTGTGGTTTTTTTTTTCTTTTTTAGGGTTCCAGTGGAAAAGACTTAACTATACCAAAGACTATTTCAGACCTTCCTCCTCTTTCAAGCAGTTTATTGACCATAATTATGAAGTCAGTTAATGTTGTCAGGTAAATGTTTCCACATTAATTTGCCCAAGTTTGTTGCTAATGTAGGATATTTTATATGTTACCAATGCAGTTTTAATTTCTAAATTAGAATATTTTCTGTAGAACTAGATGCTTACTAAATTTACCTGCACTACTTCATAATCCATTTCTCTGGACATATTGCTTGTAGTTATTGACTTGGTTCCGCTTTTTTAACTGCTTCTAAGCATGCTTCTTATTTACAAGACTGTTCATCTAAATGGATTTTTTAATCATACATCTTGGCTTGCTTCTTTCATAAGATACTTATAAACATTAGTCCCTTCAATGTAGAGATACTTAGGTGAGATTAAATATTCACCAGAAATAGCATTAATTCTTTAATTGAATGTCTGCAGTGAGATGACAAATGTATTATAGCTGTATTAAAATCACAAAATTCACAATAGTTTTAAAGTATCTTGAGTCATAAAAGCCCCCAAAAGTAGGGATGTCATTATTTTTTTTTATACTTAAAATCGTTTAATTGCTGTATTTAGTGGGTACCCTGACTATCTCCTAAAACTATGACAAGTGAATTTAATTTTCTTTAGTTTGTTCATATTCAATTTTTATTTATGTGACTAAACACACCACAGCTTACTTCAAATCATCAAGGGGCTAATGTGTATTCCTTAGAAGACCCGTCATTCTCTGTGACTTACCACAACTAACTGCAATGCTTAATTCCCTCATCTGACAGGCATTGAATATCCCTGTCTGCTGTCATGAAGTTTTGTGTTTGGCTGGATTTTTTTATCCTCAGTCCTTCTCTAGTTGAACTTGAAAAACAGACTCAGAGAGGTTCCAATAGGTTTCCTAATCCAAATCTTGTTCTTCCATGAGGCAGCAGCTGTGCTCTCTTTAAGTGAAACACCATTATTTGACAAACTTTTGAAATAGAGATGCAGAAATTCAGTGAATGTCTCTGAAACTTTTTCTTGTAGGGGTCAAAATGAATCTTGTCCATTCTTCTTCATGAAGGAAACTGCTAGTTTGGACCACATTGTTTCCATGAGTACTTTGATAAACATGTATCTATCTTCTAGTATTTATTTTCTTGGTGCATTCTCTAAGTCAGGAGATAATTTACATCTGGTTCCACTGGTGACTCAAGACTGAGGCTACTTTTAAGGCTGATTTCTTTTATTAATCTGTATTGATAGGCCATAATGAGAGTACAGTAGTAAGGCATTCACCATCTCAGACATCACCATTCCACAGCAATGCAAAAGCTTTTGACATTACAGAATCAGATGTGAGCTCCTGTTCAGTGAATGCACAGTCATCTTGCACCAGGTTTTGCAGTGTCTGTTATGTTTTCAGTTACTAATGAGTCAATCTCTAGCACTGAATTTCAATCTTCATACCAGTGATAATACTGAGTGACTTGGCAATATTTGACCAGTTGTGTGAGTATCCCTTCCTTTAGTAGGGAGCTGTCTGTATAAGAACCAATTGCTTATCTATCTCTTTTACTTATATGTATTTGTAAACAGTTTACAGCTCTGTTTTATTTTTGTGGGCAGGCTCATGTAACCCATGTTGAGATGGAAGTGGGAAAAGGCAGCTGCAGTGAATCTTATTACATGTTAATAAATTTCATATGTTCCTTCATGGAAAAACAGAGTGTGCTTACTGACCTAAACAGTGACACCAATAAAGTCAATACTCTGAGTGGAATACTGTTAGTTAGCTATTTAAATGCAATATGAGCCTTGGGTGACATGGTTTAGTGGGAGTTGTCCCTGCCCATGGCAGGAGGGTTGGAACTAGATGATCTTAAGGTCCTTTCCAACCCTAACTATTCTATGATTCTATGAAATGGAATCAATACTTTGTCAGATTAGTCCACAGTGATGTCATAAATTTAATGCAATTCATAAGCAACTGGATAACACTTATTTCAGAACCTGAAGAGGTTTCATCTTTCTCAGCTCCTTGAAGCAATACTTGAGCTTCTAGAAAGTTTATTTACTCAATCACTAGTGGAGGTTGGATCCCTTCTTGACTGCATATTTCATTTTGGTATCTTAGCACAATAAAAGCCTGAAGAACAATTAAAGTCAGAAGTGGGTATTTATGATATTCAGTTTTGGTGTCAGATGATGATAATATTACCAAAGGTATTTTGAAATGTTTTGGGGAAAGCTATTGTAGAATCTACTGCTCTCAGTTTCCTCTTTAGTTCTTCACAGAGCATTTACTTTCATGCTCTGAGGAATTACAGATCTTGTCCATCTGCTTTATCCTTCGTGTTCTTTTATTTTTATCCGTTCTAAGAATTACTTTAGAATTTTTGAGAACTGCTTCTGAGTTAATTTTTTTTTTTTTCTTTACCATAAACACACATTACCAATAACAAGCAATTAGTGGTTTCATTCTGCAGTATTGCCTTAATCCACATTGCAGTGTTTAGCTGAGTTGCTAGACCTCTTCCTTGACTCCCTTAATTCATTTTTCTTAACTTGATATATGTCCCAAACCACTGCCAAAGTTTGCTAAAAGTCAGTCTCTTAAGATACATATTGAGTCTGTATTTATCTCAGACTTTACAATGAACAGTTGTTTTGGTTCTATTAGTCCGTCCATATTTTCAGTACGTAAAATGTAGTTTGGAAGTGTTTTGGGGCTGTTTTTTGTTACAAATGTTCTTCACTGTATTGTAATTGGAAAGTCATAGAATCAGAGAATAATTAGGGTTGGAAAGGACCTTAAGATCATCCAGTTCCAACCCCTCTGCCATGGGCAGGGACACCTGACACTAAACCATGTCACCCAAGGCTCTGTCCAGCCTGGCCTTGAACATCACCAGTGTTGGAGCATTCACAGCTTCCTTGGGCAACCCATTCCAGTGCCTCACCATCGTTACAGTAAAGAACTTCTTCCTTATATCCAATCTAAACTTCCCCTGTTTATGTTTGAACCTGTTACCCCTTGTCCTATCTCTACAGTTCCTAATGAAGAGTCCCCCCCCAGCATCCTTAAAGGCCCCCTTCAGATACTGGATGGCTGCTATGAGGTCCACACACAGCCTTCTCTTTTCCAGGCTGAAGAGCCCCTACTTTCTCAGCCTGTCTTCATACGGGAGGTGCTCCAGTCCCCTGATCATCCTGGTGGCCCTCGTCTGGACTTGTTCCAACAGTTCCATATTCTTTTTATGTTAAGGACACCAGAATGCACAAAATACTCCAGGTGAGGTCTCAGGAGAGCAGAGTAGAGGGGCAGGATCACCTCCTTCGACCTGCTGGTCACGCTCCTTTTGATGCAGCCCAGGATACAGTTGGCTTTCTGGGCTGCGAGTGCACACTGAAGCCGGCTCATGTTCATTTCCTCATCGACCAGCACCCCGAAGTCCTTCTCCACAGGGCTGCTCTGAATCTCTTCTCTGCCCAACCTGGAGCTGTGCCTGGGATTGCTCCGACCCAGGTGTAGGACCTTGCACTTGGCATGGTTAAACTTCATGAGGCTGGCATCAGCCCACCTCACAAGCGTGTTGAGGTCCCTCTGGATGGCATTCCTTCCCTCCAGCGCATCAACCGAACCTCACAGCCTGGTGTCATTGGCAAACTTGCTGAGGGCGCACTCAATCTCACTGTCCATGTCAGTGGCAAAGATGTTGAACAAGACCGGTCCCAACACCGATCCCTGAGGGACCCCACTCGTTACTGGTCTCCAGCTGGACACTGAGCCATTGACCACAACTCTTTGTGTGCAGCCATCCAGCCAGTTCTTTATCCACCAAGTGGTCCATCCATCAAATTGATGTCTCTTCAATTTAGAGACAAGGATGTTGTGTTGGGACAGTGTCGAATGCTTTGCACAAGTCCAAGTAGATGACATCAACTGCTCTACCCCTGTCCATCAGTTCTGTAGCCCCATCTTAGAAGGCCACCAAATTGGTCAGGCAGGATTTCCCCTTAGTGAAGCCATGCTGGCTGTCACCAAGCACCTTGTTGATTTTCATGTGCCTTAGCATGCCTTCCAGGAGAATCTGCTCCAAGATTTTGCCAGGCACAGAGGTGAGACTGACTGGTCTGTAATTCCCTGAGTCATCCATTTTCCCCTTCTTGAAAATGGGGGTTACATTTCCCTTTTTCAGTCTTAGGGAACTTCACCTGACTGCCATGATTTTTCAAATATGATGAATAGTGGCTTAGCAACTTCATTCTCCAGCTCCTTCAGGACCTGCAGATGGATTTCGTCAGGTCCCATGGACTTGTGCACGTTCAGATTCTTAAGATGGTCTCAAACCAGTTCCTCTCCTACAGTGGGCGCAAGGTCTTCATTCTCACAGTCCCTGCATCTGCCTTCCAAGACTTGGGTGGTGTGGTCAGAGCCTTTGCCAGTGAAGATCAAGGCAAAGAAGTAATTTAAGAACCTCAGCCTTCTGCAAATCCAGGGTAGCCAGTTCTCCTGATAGCTTCTGGAGAGGGCCCATGTTGTCCCTAGTCTGTCTTTTATTCACAGTGTACCTGTAGAATCCCTTCCTGTTATCCTTAACATCCCTAGCCAAGTTTAATTCTAACTGGGCCTTAGCTTTCCTAACCTGGTCCCTAGCTTCCCGGACATTTGTGTGTTCTTCCCAGGCCACCTGTCCTTGCTTCCACCTTTTATAAGCCTACTTTTTCCTTCAAAGTTTCCTCAGTGGCTCCTTATCCATCCAAGGAGGTCTCCTGGCCCTTCTGCTGCACTTCCTTCTAGTCAGGACACAACACTCCTGAGCTTGTAGCAGGTGATCCTTGAATATCAACCAAGAGTCTTGGGCCCCCCTGCCCTCTAGGGCTATATCCCTTGGAACCTTACTAAGCAGGTTCCTGAAGAGGCCAAAGTTTGCTCTTTTGAAGTCCAGGGCAGTGAGCTTGCTGCACGCTCTTCTCACTGTCCTGAGGATCTCGAACTCGACCATCTCACGATCGCTGCATCCAAGGCTGTCCTGGAGCGTCACGTTTCCAACGAGCCCTTCTCTGTTGGTGAGCATGAAGTCAAGCATGGCACCTCTCCTTGTCGGCTCCTCTCTTACTTGCAGAAGGAAGTTGTCTTCTACACAACTGAGGAACCTCCTGGATTGCTTGTGCCGGGCTGTACCGTCCCTCCAATAGATATCAGGGTGGTTTAAATCCCCCATGAGGACAGGCCTGTGAGCATGTGGCTGTTCCTATCTGTCTATAGAGCGCTTCATCCACAGAGTCCTCTTGGTCAGACAGTCTGTAACAGATTCCCACGGTAATGTCCCCCATAGCTGTTCTCCCTAAATCATCTATTTTAATTTTTGAATTCCATATAATTTTTCTTTTCTTCCCAAGCAATTTACCATTCTGCTAACTCAGATATTTTCAGTTCCAGAAGCAGCATGTAATCTTCAGTTACCCTGCAGGCAAAAGCAGTAGTTATTGGACATCTTTGAAGCTATGGTGGCAGGGTAGCATAATCACAGACTTGGTCTGTCCAGTTCTGTTTTGAAAGAAATGATTTTTAGTATATTTTTGCTTTATTTTTTAATTAGGTCATTTTTAAATGAATTAATGGAATGCATTCTCTCTGAAGAAATTGAAGGGATTTTTAGTCTAACAGCTACTGTCTGCATTGTGATCATAATTAAAGGTCAGTCAAACCATTTTTGTCCATAGTTTTTCTTTCTTTTTTCTATGTGCTATATAATGTAAGTTCTTATACAATTTAAGAGACACTTCCCTTTATCCTGTTAAGTTACCATTTTTCTACAGGATTTAAGGTTATATATAATTGTGAATTATATCATTAAGCTGTGGACTTTCAATCTTTATGCAGTGAATTTAGAAATACATCTGTCTGCTAACTCATAACATTCATCTCTGTGATTTGTTGAAGTACACAGCAATTGATCCAGGACACTGAAAATCTTAATTTAAAATCTAATCTTTCGTTAAACATTCTTTTATGTTAAAAAATACTCTGAAAATATGCAGAAGGTTTTTTATGCAAATTACTATTTTTGTTCAAATTCGGCATAATCTTATTTCAAATAGGTAAGCACAAAACGTCACTTCTAAAGGATGTTGCACCTGCCATTCAAAGGAAACTGGTAACACACAAGGATGCTGCCACAGAAGAATATAGCTGCTCTGAAAGGTAAATGTACTGTGGGAAATTAACACTAACCTCTCCTATGCCTCCTCTGCAGTAATTTTCTTTGGTTTGTACTTGCGTAATAGAGAGCATTATGAATGATACATAGGAAGGTTTAAAATAGCAGATTAAAAAAATGTGAGGCATTCATCCCAGCACAGTATTAAATATCTTGCCCATACATCTGCTGTAATTGCAGTCTTTACATGTTCAGTTTGCTTTGTTGCATTCATTTGGTATATGTTATGACTTGATCCTGTGCATTGCAGGATTTGGTTCTGAAATTCAATTCTGTTGGCAGCAGGTGTAACAAACCAAGCAATCTATTTATTGTTTCTTATTACTAGAAGATTTTTCTGTAGTAATGCCAATACATTTTGGTATTAGGTATGTGAATCCATACCTATGCAGATGGTAAAAATTTAACTGAATGTAACAATGACCTCGAGACCTTTCCATGGGTGATCTTATTCTGCTCTTTTTGGAGATTCTTCGAACTGATGATCCTTACCCTTCACTTCCATTTCCTGTATGGTCTAAGTAAATAGAAAACAGGAATATTGCTGTCAAGACTTTGAGTGGCTTCTGCAGTTGACATTGTGCTCCTGTAATATAAAATTAATAAAGAACTAAAAATTATCTTGCTAAAAAAAAATAAAGTTATTACATAATTGGACTTCTAAGCCAAAGTGACTCTGCTGCCTGGATACATTGTGTTAATTAGTTACTTGGCTGTGAACAAATTTCTTTTTTTGGGGACCTGGCTTAGAAACAAAACTAAACAAACCCCACTTTTTTTTCCCTTATGAAATCATTTAATGTTGGGCTGGCAAGAGTTCCACTAGAATATTTTTTAAAATAATAATGTTATGGAAAGGAAAGGTGAGCAGCAGAGTATCATGATTCAGTTTGCAGTTCTTTTAAGGCAGTAGTAAAGGCTGAGAAATTAAAGCAAATTTTAACATGATTAAATAAATAGGCACATTAAAATGAGTAACTGCTGCCTCCTGAGTGCACTACTGGCTATAAATTTCAGTAAGAACACAGATAATTGCTTTATGAATCTGTATGATCATTTCTGCCCAGTGAACAGGGACAAATCAACCTGGAATTTGGGGCAGATGAAGAACATATGATGCTACACAGGGTTTTAATTTTGTGATATATGAATAGCTAGTTTTGTATAATACAAAACCAAGAGATCGTTGCAGATAAAATTAAAGCATTAGGAATGTGAACATAATGATAGGAAGTATTTTTATCACGAATCAGAATTGGAATATGGTAACAAAATTCAGAAGCTTTCACACAGCTTTTCAGAATCTGGGAGTATTCATAGTTGTATGGGTACATTGGGGATTTTTTACTCGCCAGAAGGGTAAAAGAATTCATGCTAACAAAAGGTTAGGAGGAAGCTCTTCAGTGATTAGGTTTTGCTTGCCTGATTTAAAGTGTGTTTGCTCTTTCTCGGGTAGATATAACGTTGTACCAGGGCAGGCCTCCTCTGATGTGCCATTTGTACTAGTGTACTAATGTATAAATAAAATGGAATGAGGTACATCCTGAAATGTGCCCTGTTGTTTGTAAAGTATTTTATCATACCACTCTACTTACCAAACACCAGCTTTTTAGTTATAGAATGCTACAGACTTGATGTCTGGTCATTGCTTTGAGCACAATCTTATAACACACAATGCTGCAATGATGTGTGCTAAAAAATATTACTGTTTTTTTTTTAACTCAGTAGTATTATTACTTTTTGCTTCTGGATGCACTATCTTATAACTGTTTGAGGGATTATTTTTTTTTAATACTCAGTTATACCAGGAAATAGCGACATTCTTTAATTTCCCAAGAGAACTTGGCATTCTGTGCCAGCATCTTAAATTTAGACTTATAAGTAATGTATTACATATTAGCATAGAGACAAAAAAAGTAAAAATGCTGTCTGGTGTAGTAATTAAAGTGCTGCCATTAAACAAAGAATTGTTATGCTAAATCAGAAGCAAAACTTTTCATTGTAATTTAGTCTTCCCTCTTCAGCTGAGTTAGCAGTTTAAGATGTCCCTGTGCGTCTATTATTTTTAAAATGCTGTTCAGTGCACTTAAAAATTCTGGACAACATATTTTATATTGAAAGAATTTCCTCAAGAGTAAAGGCACACAAATTTGTTTAGTTTATAAAATGCAAATATTTATGCCCAACAAAAAAAATGCAGATAAAGCTGTCAGTGCAGTGATTTGGAGGCTAGAGAAAAATGTTCACTGCCCTATAAAACCAAACGTGCTATAGAGTAATACCTTTTACTTAATATTTTGGTTTTTCTTTAATTAACATATTGATGTATGGGTGTTAGAACTGAAATTTAGCAAATTATATTTATTTACTGTTATCATTTAGCTTGCTTCCCAAACTCTGTATTGCACTCTTATTGCATCTATAAATAATTATTCTGACAGCTGACTTCCATGGTTAAAGGATGTAGCACTAGAGAGAGAAGTATGTGACGCAGCCACAGCGGTCTGAATTCAGGGAGCCCTGACATCCAATGTACCGCCATGGAAGTGCAGACGTGCCTCTTGTATTTCATTGTGGTATCTTGTGACAAATGCCCTAACTCGTCATAATTAGTGACTGACTAGCCTTGCTTATTTGGGACATCAGTCCAGGACTATAATAATAAAATATAGAGGGTAAAAAATTGGTTGAGAAATACAGGGAAATCTGTTACAAAAGTAACGCGAAGAATAAAGTTTATAGTGGTTAACAGTGAAATAATGATTTGACAGAAGACCAAAGTGCCTGGTTTTGTCTTTTGAGGATATTTTAGAGCAGTGTTAGAAGTTGTATGAGAACACAACTGCAAAGGCTGGGTGACAGTGTCAGGGAATGCAAGAAGGTAAGCGCCTGCCATATGGCAATTTCAGAGCTGGCCTTTGCGGATGTTTGGGGATTAATGGGAGACAAAGGAAAGTTGGAGAGGGACTAATATGGGTGTATACACAGCTGACAGAGACACTTGCTCGTAAAAATAAGATAGATAGTTCAAGCTTGGTAAAAAAATTGTCACAGGTGGAGAGAAAAATTATGAAGGCTGAAGAATGAGGGAGAAAGGAAGAAAATAAAGAAATGAAAAGCAGCCTTAGTATGAATTATTGGTAAAGGATTTGACTGTGTTTAAAAAAAAGAGTACAAGCGCTGTGAAGAAAATGTGTGGGTTCTTTAAATAGACAATGAAATATTAGAAAGTGTGTTTGAATTGACACAGTAATTTAAACTGGCTTGCTGTAGGTTGTGCTGTAGCAAGAGATGATCAGCAGAAAAATGAAAAAGTTCAAAGAAAAATCCCCACCTGTTTCAAAAGTAATTTGTAAAGGCATATGTAATATTTAAAATAATATGGAAGAACTGGTCAAAGAAATTGTGCTGTAGCTGTACTTTGAGAAATCAGATAGTAGCGGACTGATTTAGCTTTTAGCATATCTAACCCTGTTATGTATTTATGTCATTTCAGAATCCTGTGTGAATCATCTCTGAAAGTTTTGGATGAATTTCTGAATCCTTGACCATGTGGAAACCTTAGTCATGAAAATCAGGGGATGGAAGATGCATTGTTTTAAAAAAAAATAAATTATCTTGTAAACTTATTAGTAGTTAAGTTTGTTTTCTGGTATTCTGTACATTCAGACCAGGAAACGTGTAAAATTGTCTATAGAAATCATGTAATAGTAAAGATTTTTCGAACAGCTGTAAAGACTTTATTTTGTATAAAAATGCCTTATGGGGGGCAGGGGAGGGGGGCATGTAAAACCAGTATCTTTGTTTTTATAAAACAAGTAATAATTGCACCTTACAAAATTTTGTATATTTTGAGTTTGAGGCAGCAGGTGACCCTGGAAAGACTACAGAATATATTCCCAGAGGTTATGGAAATGATTTCATTTTGTGACGTGAAGGACAAAATGGTGGTTGAGAACAGCCGTCATGACTTCACCAGGGGCCAACTCTGCCAAACCAACACAACGGCCCTCCCTTGTGTGGAAGAAGAGAGAGCAGAGAATGTCAGTTTTCCTGTCCTTAGCAATGACTTTCACACAGGTTTTAGTATCCTTACAGCCAAGTGGGAGAGAGGTGGGTGGGAAACTGGCTGGACCTTGATGAATAATAATGCAACAACATGGTTGCTAGTGCCATTCCTCAGTGCAGATACTGTTGCCAATATTATTTAACAGTTTTATTAGAAGTTTTGGGCAAGGGATGAAATACAACCTTGGCCTGTTGACAGAGGACACCAACTTGGGAGTAATGGTTAACTCAGTGAGGGTAAGGTTGTCCCATTCCATGAGATCCTGACAAGCTGGACTTAAGGATCAACAAATCTCATAATGTTCAACAAAGACACATACTCTTCTTTCCTCAGTGGATTAACGCCGTACACCAGCCTAGCCAAGTGCAGAGGAGTGATCTTACTGCTGTCTTTACCTGCCTGGATAAGGACTAAGAAAAGACTTCTCAGAGGTACACATGAAGAGAATATGAGGCAACTGGAACAACTTGCATCAAGAGAAATTCTTGCTGGATATGAGAAAAAAATAATCACGGGACTAAATTGAAACTGGCAATGGAAGAACAGGTTGCTCAGAAAAGCAGTGGAGCACCTATCCTTGCAGACATGCATATCTTGGCTAACTAAGGCCCTTACCATTGTGGTATAATTTTAAAGTTAGTCCTGCTTGAGCTGGTGATTGGGTCAGATATTCTCCTGAGCTTCCTTCCAACTGGAATATTCGTGTGATTCAGTGACAAGTATAATGGAAGGGAAATGCCATAGCTATCAAATGTTTACTTGATTAATGCAGGAGTTAAATTGCTTTGTATTTAGCTGGTTTTATAAATTAATCCTAATGATGCAGATAATGCAGACATGCAAGGCACTTATTTAATTTTCTCAATGCTACCAGATGCTCTCCTAAAACTAGTAATAGAATGCTGATGCCAGAATGTTATTCTGCTTTAACTGAGATACCTGCAAATTAGATGTTTAAGCTCATGGTATGGTTTAATCCCTGCTGGAAGCTAAGCACTCCACACCCAGTTGCTCATGACCCCCACCCCTGGTGGGTTGAGGGAAGAATTGGTAAGGTAGAGTGAGGAAAAAAACTCGTGGGTTGAGATAAAAAAAAAAAAAACAGTTTTATTGCTTTTCAATTACTTTTTTTTTTTTTTTTAATGTAGGGAAGGGGGGAACAAAGGGAAGAAAATAAAACCCAATCAAGACAAGTGCTGCAAATGAAAACAGTTGCTCACCACCGACTGATGCCTAGACAGTTACCCAGCAGCAGCAGCAGCTCCCCACTAACTTTCCCTCTAGATTTATGTCATATGGTGTGGGATATCCCTTGGGTCATATGGGGTCAGCTGTCCCAGCTGTGTCCCCTCCCAGCTGCTTTTGCAGCCCTAACCTACTCACTGGTGGTGTGGGGTGAGGAGCAGAGAAGGCCTTGACTCTGTGCAAGCACTGCTCAGCAGTAATAAAAACATCCCTGAGTTATCAACAGTGTTTTCAACAGAAATACAGAACATAGCCTCACTAGCTACTTTGAAGAAAATCAACCCTACCCCAGCCAAAGCTAGCACAGCTCATAATGCTGTATTTATGAATTCAAGATTTACCTTACCCACAACACCAGCCTGACCAAAGAGAATACTGCTGCCACAGCAGGTATCTGTGGGTCTGCCAAGTGTTTATCTGTCAGTGTCTTCATAAAACCTGTATTCTCTGGCCTTCATTCTTCTACATCTGTTAACAGGCAGGTGTTCCAGTAATGACCTTTTAAATCTTCTGATTATACAAATTACTCAATGAATATGTAAATCACAGTTTTGTTTTGCTTTTTTTTTTTTTTTTTTGCTACTCAGTCTTTCAGTATTTGCTCATATTATTAAATTAGAAGAGAATCCAAACTTACTGCCTTGTTTTTCCTCACTGTATCATACTGCTTTTTCAGTTTTCACTTTTCATGGAAGACTTATTAAAGATGTAATATCCCAGAGCCTGAAAGAAAGAATGGTAATGCCAACATCAGAAATGGGCAGAGTTCTTGAAGAACTCGGAAGTGATATTGCTAGGAAGGGTAAGCAAATTTAAAGACAAACCTTTGTCCTCTTACTGCCTGCTGCTCAAGTGGTCCTCCAAAGTGTGGAAATCATATTGCATTAATTGTACAGCTGGTGTAGAGATTTCAGCTCAGTTTCTAGTTCATTTCTACTATAATTACTCTGACAGACAAAAAAATGTTGGCTTTCTTCAACACAAATAATGGTGCTCCTAGGACCCCTCTCAGTGCTTTGGCCTTGGGTTTCTTGTGGCAAATTTCACAGAAGTGTCAGAGTTCTAGGTTTTACCGGCTGTTTTCCTTGCAAACTATGTTCTGCCAAAATGCTGAATCCTTTCATTTTTCTCTTGTGTCAGAGATGTAAATACGTAGTATGTTTCTTAGCTAATCTGTCTTTTGGAAACATGTAAAATAGATCGGTTTAATCTTATTAATCAGAAGTGTTGCTGAAGTGCTGCTGGGGGAGAGGGGGTTTGGTCTTTGGGTTTTGTTATAGAATAATCTTGGTGTCCAGCCAGATGCACTACCCTGACCTCATATCTGAGAATTGCCTATTTAGACAGACCCTTTGAGATCTTTACACCTCTTCTAAGAAGTTGAACTTGACTTTGATTAATAAAAATGCTCAAAATATGAACAAGATAATCCCATTCTAAGATACTACTTTGAGCAATTTGCACTGGCAGCGCCCTGTGAACGTACAACCACCTGAAGAGCAAACTTTCTAGTCATAGCTGTACCTGTAAGTGGCATGCCTATCAGGCTCCCTTTCAAGCAAATATATTCAGTGTAAGTATTACTAAAGAAAGCACTATCTTTGAACTATTTGCAGTAATGTTTGAACTTTATTTGTAGAGACTTGGTCCCTTTTTTGATGACAATGGTCATTTGCTGTCATCTGGCTGGAAACAAAGTCCAGCAGTCTTCCATCTAGCACAGCTTCAAATGATGAGCTAAAGAATAACCTGGGGAAGCTCTCAAGCTCCATCCTTAGCAAATAAATGCTTTAAAGTACAGGTCCAAGCACACAAACTTTCAGACTTGCCAAGGAAAAGAAAAAATCCTAACAAAAAAAAAAATCAGACTGCTGAACCCAGAACACACCTGCTGTTTACTGCCCTAATAGCTACAACACACTTTGCATTTTAACAGCATGTGCTGCTGCTGTTGAGGGCTTTGAGGTCTTCTGACTTACAGAAGGAAATGAGAGAGACTAATTTTGATGAAATTGCTCACCTCACTTGATAAATACTTAGTGAAGAATACTTGTGATAATGACTGCAGTGTGAAATCACGAGGCACACCAGCTACGTTGCAGTATTACTTGCTGATCTGTTTCTGGGGCTTGTGAGCCAAGCTCATTGCAGAATGTCCTGCTGTGCCTGTGCTGGGTGCTGTACATGCAGTGGCAGCTGCCCATGCCAGACAGAAGAGCACAGCTTGGTCTATGTGTCTTGATTAGCTGGTCAAGGGCAGCCTTCAGGAACAGCCACAGGACTTTCTCAGGCAGACAGCAGTTCTTCAGTTTCACTAAGCCATTGCAAATAGGCACAAATCTTGCCTAATCTACTTCAGATAAGACTTCTTAGTCCTTGCTCTGTGCAGCTGTAGTGTTGCTTGCCTGAGCATGACTAGGCACAGCCCTAGGCGTCAAAAAAGCTGTAATTTTAGCTTTAATTACTGAGTTTTTTTCACTGGGTTAGGTTGTTCAGCACAGACTTGTCCTTAGTCTTCTCTAGTAAGAGTGTGTCATTCGTCTCTGTTCAGTTTCACATCATGGTTCTAGAAAAGCTGCAGAAATCAGATGTGTTAGTACTGAGGAAGCTGCAGCAGTGGAAATTCACTTCCTGTTTTATCTGTTAGCATTTTTTGAAGCAGTATCAAAACCAGTTTTTGCAACATATCCTGTTACCATCACTTTCTAGCTGCTTATGGCTCTAGGAAGTAGAAGCTGTTACCAACCTTTTTCTCCTCTGACATTTTTTCAGTATTTTAACCAGAGGACCACCTTGTTTTCAGGAAATAACTTAGTTCTCAAACACATGATTTTACACTTATTTATTTCATGGTGCTTATATTACTTCAGACTTACCACTACTAAATACTTCCTATTAAAAGTCTAGCCCTATGTTTGATATTGCTGTCAACTTTGTCCCAGTTTCAAATATATGTTCAAATTTCATTATTTTATGCTTATTTTTTGTACTGTCATTAATGAAAATATTAAATAAGGTGCTGTTCCAAAACATCGTTAGTAATTTCTTTTAAGCACGTCAAAGGAGGTGATCCTGCCCCTCTACTCTGCTCTTGTGAGACCTCACCTGGAGTATTGTGTGCAGTTCTGGTGTCCTCAACATAAAAATGACATGGAACTGTTGGAACAAGTCCAGAGGAGGGCCACGAGGATGATCAGGGGACTGGAGCACCTCCTGTATGAAGATAGGCTGAAGAAGTTGGGGCTGTTCAGCCTGGAGAAGAGAAGGCTGCGTGGAGACCTCATAGCAGCCTTCCAGTATCTGAAGGGGGCCTATAGGGATGCTGGGGAGGGACTCTTCATTAGAGACTGTAGTGATAGGACAAGGGGTAATGGGTTAAAACTTAAACAGGGGAAGTTTAGATTGGATATAAGAAGGAAATTCTTCTGTGTTAGGGTGGTGAAGCACTGGAATGGGTTGCCCAGGGAGGTTGTGAATGCTCCATCCCTGGCAGTGTTCAAGACCAGGTTGGACGAGGCCGTGGGTGATACGATTTAGCGTAAGGTGTCCCTGCCCACGGCAGGGGGGTTGGAACTTGATGATCTTAAGGTCCTTTCCAACCCTAACTATTCTATGATTCTATTCTATGATTCTATTTCCCTTTTCAATTACTATTCCTATAATAATCCTTGTCTTGGCTTACTAAATTTTTTATACGCTGCAGTAGCAGATGCTTTGCTGTAAAGCCTTACATTCTAAGTAGGTACATTTTAGCAGCTCTCACTGGAAAGGTATATGAATCCTGTGTGGCTGTATGCCTGCATTGAAGGACATACAAGCTAGAGCCAGCCCAGCTGCCTTTGGGTCTTTTGCAGTGTGTAGTGACACATGCTTCTGCCTTTTGGGGCAATTATTAAACACTTACATAAACTGTTTGTGCTAGCTCAGCTTTCACATTAATATATTGATTTGTCTTTTTTTTTCCTTACTGTAACCATCCTTACTAATTGCCTAAAATGATACCCAAGTCCCAGCTTGACAGCAGGAAATGTATACTTCGTGCACTGACCTTTCGGAAATCTTGCCATGACTATTAAAAAAGGCAGGTATTAGCAACTTCATTTTCCCAGAATAGAATCTGAATGAAAAATACAGCATCTGTAAGAGGCTACGAATCCAATTAGACCAATCTAAGAGAGTTCTGGGAAAAAAAAAAACAACAAAAAACCAAAAAACAAACAAAAAAAACACCACCGACAACAAAAAAAACAAACAAAAAAAAAAAAAAAAACAAAACAAAAAAACCAAAAGAAAGGTGAATCTCATTCCTGCTCTGGGCTATTTAATGTCAGCATGACTCAAGTTCTCCCACCGCTGCACTGAAGGAAAAGCTACTTTCACTGAGGAAGCTCATTTCACTGATCCTAATGGCAAAAGCTGCGCCCTTTCTTACACTGTTCTCTAAGCTTAGACTATTAATAGTATAAAGAAAAAGATTTTACTCTCACTCTTTTCTCAGTTCCACACAAAGAGAAGTTCTAAGGCTTATCCTTTCTTTAAAAGTGGTCTTATATTAAAAGTGACCATCCTTCATGACAAGAAGAGAGTTACCTTTCTCATCCTCTGTCCCCAGATTCCCTCTCATGACCAACTGCTCTTAATTGGCAGGATGGCTGTTTTCACGGGGCTCTCCACCCACTATGTGAATATACTCATGTGAAATTGATGTGAAATCATGTGAATTGATGTGAAATGATATTCACTATGTGCAAATACTCATTTCACAGTGAACGCTGTTTCTTTCAGGTGCCTTAGGCAGTCCCCAGGCTCATCAGAGGAGTTTGCCCACACCAGTGCTGCTCAGGGAATGTGCAGTTTGATGACCACAAAAGCCCATATTCAAATTCAATCAACAGTAGGTAAAATGTCTGAGAATTACACTGCATGGTATACTATGCATCTGTGACCCAAGAATCTGATTTTAAATGAAAGATACTAAAGGTGGGGTTACTAACTTTCAGTGTTTATCAAAATTTCATTTTATTTTACTTTTTCAGATGTCAGAATTTAAAATAACTAAGGTTATGTTAAGACTGATAAAGAAGATACGTAAAACTAGTCCACCTGTAATGATTAGAACTGTTCAATGCAAGAGAAAAAGAAAGCTTATCAGGGATCGGACCGCAGCCTCCTGATTCCATGATTTGATCTACACTGGAATTGATAGCAATACGTGGCTCCTGAGCCACCCATCACAGGTCAGCCAGCCTCCTGGGAAGCCTCATCTTCCCAGTTAAGATTATAGAGCCTTAAACTGCCTGAGCAACACATGGAGAGCAGGGACTCTAGCCTGTATTTTTTAATGTATCTGTGTATCATGATCTATTGATTGAATGCTTAAAAGCAGGCTTGTTTCAACGAGCTCTAATATTAGAAAGCACTCTGTGCTTGCTCTGATGAAAGACCCTCCTGTCCAATTAGCACATCTGAGCAGGTGTGATGCCTTTGGCTCTGGAAATATGTTGACTTTGTGAAAAAATTCACATATAGAACAATTTTAATTATTTTGAAATGGTGAGGAGGAAGAGAAGTCTTTTTTCACAAATGTGAAGATCATTTTTGTCCCTTTAGCTATCAACCTTCCTGTTGCAGCTCCAGTTTAGGACAGCTCTTTTACTTCTAATTTTATTCAACTGCGAATGAAATAACATGTCAGTTCCTACTAGAAATTTGTACCTTTTTCACTTTTCACTGTGATACTCCTTTTTTATTGGTAATATAGGAGATTTAATGATAGAATACTAAATATCACCCCATTCCCTTTTTTATTTTATACAGGCAGTTTTAAATAGTAATAGTTTTGCAACACTGGCCTTCTTTTTCAAAGCTGGTCGTCACTCCTTGGCTTTACCAAGAACAGCACATGCATATTTATTAACACTATAGTGTAAGCAAATGATTCTGTATAACTCAACTCAGTCATATACAGTAGAAGCTCTATTATACAGAGCAGAAAAGTTCATGGCGAACATTCAGCTGAGGAAGAAGATTCTCTAGAGAAGTCAAGTAGGTGTTTCTGTTTGGTCTTTGATGCTCTGTTGGAATACTGAACTACAACACAGCAAAGGGAAGGCTTTTTAAAGCAGCGATGCAGAACAGAAAAAGAGCATCCTGTCTCTTCCATTATTCAACTTTTAATAGTTTCACCAAAACTTATGACTATTCTTAACATAATCTTGTACTTACAAAGCTACATAATGTAATTTCAGTGTAGTCCAAACAATGTTCCTTTCCCTAGCTGTCATTACCATGAACTTTCTCTATTTTTTGTTTGTTTGTTTTCTGGTCACAGCATAATCTCAGTAACCTTCCTTTAACAGAAATACATAATAGTCAATGGTCCAAGCAGTCTTGTACTCTGAGGTTAGCAGAATGCCTTGAGGAAGACTTTCTAGCTTTTGTACCCTAGACACTACGTGTTTATTTTTATTATTTTTTGCTATACAAGATTGCTCACATCAATAAGCATTAGGCTATGAAACTGAAGTGAAAATGATCTCAGCTCAGTTGTTCTTGCTGCCTTCTGAGTTGCTTTCAAACCTATTGTTCAGTTCTAGATTTCCTCCCAGTATGTTTCTCAGTGGTACTCTAAGTTCACAGTCATACAACAGCTATAGCAAATATTCTAGCTTCTAATTCACCACTGGGTTTCCCTCTGTACATAAGGACAGTAAGCAGGACAGCAGTGTTTCCCAGATAGAAAACAGAGAGGTTGAGCTTAACCCAAAAGCATTATGTCTTCAGCATAATGCAGCCAAAGCAATAGACAGGCTGGAGAAAAAAATGGAGGGGAGCACAAGTGGCTTCTTGACTTGTTTGCTGTGCTATAATCTCTCTCATCACCACAGCAACAGGACGGAAAATGCAAGCATCTGCACTTTGCACTTTGGGAAACCAGATCCTTCCTCATACATGACATAAGAAAGCACAGTTTAAGAACATTACTAGAGCTGCAAAATCAGACACTCAAAAGTCAGGAGGTATCAAAGTGAAGATGAGCACAGCTTAACCATCACCTTTGATTAGGTGTTGAATGTCATGGTATTTTTAATTACATTAATTACATTAAGATAAGTTACTTATTCTACACAAACTGTTCCCTACTCAGCGCTCAGCCTGTATCTGCTCTGTGGGTGATTCAAACCCCTTGCTGTTGACTACACAGCAAATATTCAGTGCTTTTTCTCCACTTCTTCAACACACAGCTCTACACTTCATCTCCTGCATGCTATTCACACCCAGTGCTGAGGACAAAACAGGCAGCTTTCTCAATGGCATTACTACAGCACTATTCGCTGCAGTCCCAGCATTTCACAGTGATTCATGTATCTTCCCACCCCCCTGTAGGTTTACTTATCACCATTTTACAAATGTACAGTGAGACTAAGCTAAAAAAATTCCATGAATTTTGGAACCTAGGTATGAGATGTCACGTCACCTCAAAGCATCCATCTCCAGCTGCAGTTGTGGGTGCTTAGCACTTGAATCAGACTTCAGGTTCCCAAGTTAGAAAGCAAGGGACACATAACCAGAGCTCCCCAGCAGTTTTAATCAACTACAGGCCTATTCTTTCAGAATGGCAAAGTTCAGTAATCTCATTCATCCTTTAATTTAACACAAGAGGAGCAGATATCTCAGGGGATTAGTTACTGGTTGTAAAATCCATTTACCAAGTATCAAATCTAACAGATTAGTGAAGATGGCTAAAAATAGAATTTTTAAACTGTTTCTGAACTCTCTCTCATTAAAAGCACCTAATTAATTTTAAAATGTGGTTCCCTATTGGCATTTCATGATCAATGGCAACCAAACCTAATAATTCACTGCACACCTAAGGGTTTCAACCTGGTTTTTGAAGAACAAGAACCTATTTGCAAAAAAACATTCACTAATATCATTTAGTCTGGATACACCATCTTGGTATGCTTAGACAGTAAGTTTTCCAGCTGTGCTGAGAACTCTAAACACTCACAAAAATCAGTAGGAATTCAGATGCTTTTGATTTTGAAATCTGTCTCCAGTGACTTTAAGATAGGGAAATCACAGTTCAGCCTCTATGCTGATTTGAGATGATGGAGGGTATTAGCAGGAGACCAAGCCTTTCTTTCTCAGTTAAAAGGGGACAGACAGCTCTAGTGCACAGCAGTGACTTGTGCTTGTTCTCAAAGAGGCCAGTCCCTCCCGCAGTGAGACCCAAATTGTCTTTCATAGACTGACACTAGATATAAACATGTCAGAAATGGCCTCAGAGTTCAGATTCATCAGTTACATCAGTATCCCCACCTTGAGACAGCAGAGGTCTTTTGTGCTCAGGTTCTGAATATCCATACATTGCTACTCACAGGTTGCTTCATGCTACCTTTTCCTTCTCTTCAGCCAGTTTTATATCAAACAGCTTCAGCAAGTTTCAGCATGCTGTTAAATGTAGGTGCCACCATAAGCGGTATTTGAACAAGTCATCTAGAATTTTAAATGAATTTCAAATGAATTTGGGTTCAATCCAGACCTGCAAATGCCTACACTTACAGCACCCCTACCAATCCAGCGGAAAAGATTATGGAAGTTATCCTCACCAGCTGAAACCACTATGCACGCTGAAGGGGCTGGTCTGGTACCAAGGATTCCTGCAGTCTTAGAAGTCAGCTCAAAGCAGGCTGCCCTAAGCACTCATATACGCAGATGTTTAGGTCTTCAGTTAATGTAAGTCACATGTATAATTTTCAGTTAATGTAAGTCACATCTCCCGCTATTCTCACAGGTAATTTTCTCTAGCTGCATTTCATCTCTTAGCCTCTGAACACTCCATTTTAGGCTCCTCTCCAACTGTTCTTTCCAGCAACACATAAACCGCATTATAATTCAGTTACAGCATAGGGAATAAAAGCCCAGCTCACAGCTTACCAGTCATAACTAAAATCAACCTACTTTTTTCTTTTCCTTTTTTCTTTTTTAAACTCTATCAGTCACACATTTGCCCGATTCTCAAGGATTTTTCCTTCTGGCTCAGTGTTGAACTCCTGTTCCTCAGTGATGCAGTAATATCTAAAGTAAAACTTTTAGCATGCTCTAAAGACATCTTCTGATACAACTTTGGAAAGAAGAAGAAAAGCTTTAAAATAGCTCAAATCAACAGTATATCAAAACATTATTCCTACAGAAAACTGAATTGCTGTGATACCCATAAAATGTATCCTACCACACTCTTCCATGAAGCAATCTGACATCTTTTAGACCCTGCAAATACTTATTTTCATGCTAAGCTGTATTCAGTATGAATTCTTTTAAAAATCTTAAAAGCTCTGCTTGCTTTTTTAGATATGAAATAACTAATACTGAAGATCAGTAATTTCTCTACTGAATGCCAAAATCCTTTCAAGCATATTTAGTTACGCTCTGAAATGTTAAAAAATTGAGAAAGAAAGAACACAACTACTGCTGGTATGACCTGGGTCTACACCTTTTAACAGCACTTGAAGATTTCTCCCTTCAGGAACTTTCTTTAATAAACTTAGTCTCTGAATGTAGACTACAAGCACCAAATCTAAATTTAAGTGAGAATTTGTACTGCTACGATGAAAGTTATGACTTTAGCTCTCAGTAATCTAGGCTTCGGTATACTTCTCAACATCTAAACACTCAGTGTCTCAGGCACTGGGTAGCTTTTTAAAAGTGTCTCTTATTACTACTGCAGGATAAAGTCTTTCATTCCTAACTGCTTTAGAATATAAACTATTTTAATTCTATATTTAAAAAAAAAAGCAATGTGGAATACATGATATGTCTTCTGTTTGTGAAAGAGTCAAATATACAGAGCTATATAACCATGAATGTACTTTTTCAACATACATATGCAAAAGAAACTACTTGTAAGTGCATAGTGCAAAATTTGTTATTTTTTTGGATAGTTTTTAATCTCAGAAGCTATTACAGACTTTACAATACAGTTGCAATAAACTGCCCCCCAGACCCTAATTTTAAAAGAAATCTTGTCACTTTAAACTTTCCATCAACAATACTGAATAAATATAATCAAAATATTCCAGGATATGAAAGTGTGAACAGTTCTGCAGTGGCCGTTTGAAAAGTGTCTCTGTCATCCTAATGACAGAGGCCTCCTGATGATCAGATCATCCTGAAGAGAGTCCATGTGCTTGTCAGCCTCTTCAAGCAGAGTTGATGGCTCACACCAACAACATTCGAAGTGGCAAGTGGTATTGCTCCTCTTGTAACCATGCTACTCCAAGTTGTGGCTCTAGAGATGTTTTTTCTAGCCTTACGTTTCACAGTCTTCTGAAAGAAGTCTTCAAATCACAAGCAAGGTGCAGGAGGATTACTGCTTCTCAATTGGCTATTTCTGCCCTCAGAAAAGCATGGTGGAGGTTATATTTGCAGCCTTGAGCCTCAAAAAGACTCCCTTTGTGTCTGTATACACATTTAAAGGCTTTGAATATTTTACCTATGTCCTCTAGAGCCAGAAAATGTAACTAATAAAATAATCTAAATCTGTCTTGTCTGGGCATGGATATAGCACAAACCTTTCTTTTTCTCCTCTTTCACCCCTGCTCCCCCACCCCTCCACCTCCAATACAGCTTAAAGCCCTGTCAAGATATCCATGTTACTGAATCTTGAACTGCCTGATAGATATTGTTCCCTATGGATTTTGGACCCATTAACAGGACAAATGATCTGCAATTAATGTGCTCAGAAGCCTTGTATTTGGGGATGGGGGACGGGGGATGAGAGGAAGAACGAAAATGAAGAAGGTAATTTTAGTGCCTTTTTTTTTGAAAGGGTGTGTTTTCCTGTGCAGGTAGGCTGTATTTAGCATAGCTGGAACTGACCTTTTGTTCAGGCTCTTCTTTATACTTGGATAAACTGACAAATAGCTCTGTGATCCTTAGACAAAAAGTGCAGTTCTATCCTGTACAAATATACATATACAATTTCTACAGTCATGCAGGTGTGCCCATGCTTGTGTATGTAATTCCTATTTGAAATTTAAAAACAGACCTGCAGAGGCTTATAAACATAACTTTGGTAACTAGGTACAGAGTAAAACTCTCTTGCTACCTTTGTGTTTTATAGTCCTTATACTTAGCCTTCAACTATCATGTGTTATTTTAATCCTGTTTATATCATTTAACTTATAGCACTTAATTACTTATAAGCATTTAAGAGTATTTTCCCTTGTTTATTTTTTTGTCTAAATTATTCTCTGGTGATGTTCTACTTTAACTGAATCCTGTGTTTTACCCAATTTCCAATTCATATAATTTTGGCACCTTTTCTTCTTATATTTCTAAAAATTCTATCATTAGCTCAATTCCCAGCTTATTAATTCATTATTCCCACTATGTCATTCTAAACAGTATTCAACAAAATAAATCCTATACTCATCCTCTTGCTCTTTCCATGCTAAACTACTTCTGCCAACTAATGTCGTTCCTAGCAGGGATGTTTGCTTTTAATATAATCTTGAATGGCCCAGTGAAATTGAGAAAGGCTGACCTTATTGTCCAATAGTTAGATCATGTCTCTGAATCAACCAGAGCAGAAATTTGAGTCTTTAAAATATCAGGCCATGCAGCTGTCCTGGCTACTACGCAATTAGCCATTCTGGGGTCATTTCTAGCCCTTTCTGGAACTTCTGGCCTTACTGGTGGATTTTTGATGAAAACATATATGTTTCTCATGAAAAACCTTAGTCAGGCAACACATCATTTTTGAACAGAAAGTGTGTCCTTGACAAACTGTTCAACTGTGGTTACCATGGATAAGGATATAAATCTTTCATAGGTATAAAATCATATAGCTTATCCAGCTCTTCTTTCACTTTGCCTGGTGTGTTTTTCACACCTATAAGGGTATCATAAAAAGCCTCAGTTTCAGCAATTAAGGACATGCTAAACTTCAACATGTTATTCTCTGTGCTGAAATTTTCAGATCTATCATTTCCAGTGTCATTCATATACCCTCACATTCACCTTCACACCCATTAGCAATGGCGAGCTGATACTCTATCCTCTCAGCCACCCTTCATTATCTTTACAAGTTTAGAATCCCCTACCAAAATGATTTAAATATTCCCTCACAGAAATAATTACTGATACCCTCTTCTATTCTGTTTTCAAAACTGCCAAGTCCTACAGTTTTGTTTGAGCCCTGCAACATCCGTGACTTCAAGAATAGAGTAATTTTTGCAGTCTTTCTAGTAATTTTCACAAATTACTTATACCCTTTAGGATTTCTTTTCCTATGGTTCAGAAACTTATTGAAAATATGATAATAAAACTCCTAATCAAAACAGCCTCACAAGGGTGGTAGACCAAAATGTGGACGCTTAATTTATTATGCAAGTATTTAAAACCTTGGCACTGAGAAATGTCTTGAGAAAATGACTGTGAACCAGCAAAGTAACCTGCATGTGTCATAACATGTTATTTACACTGTCTTACTGTTATTCATCTAATTTACACACAGACTTCAGTCTCACAGTTTTTACATGTCGTTAACAAAATTCATTATACCTAATACCACAGATTTCAATCTGTCTGTTCCTGGGGCTTTAAGACAGATCTGTCTATCTTTGCTAGCTACAGCCTACTATAAAACCGTAAAATACAACCAGATAGAAAATGCTTTTCACTTTCCAGTCCTGAGAATTCCTACTTGAGTTATTTCCAAATACCCAATTCACCTACCAATTGACTCTCTACTCTTTCCTTAACACCTTACTCCTGTCTTTACTAACCTTGTGTACTCAAGGATTTCTTCCTGCCTTTGATGAAGCCCTTTCTCTCTTGATTTTTCACATTGCTTCACAAACATATGAACAAATGTCATTATTTTTCTAATCCTCTGCACAGAATGGCTATGAAAATTCTAATTTCCCTTTAAAATCTGCATAGTATTTGATCCTAAATTCACAAGATCTATGCAAATCATTCATTGCAGAGCTGCAATGACTTCCAGTAATATCACTGCTATTTTGATGAACAACCTGTTCTCTTGCTGTGCCTGCCATTTGCTCCTTTCTTACCTTCAGTTGTTCTGCAGTTCTCTGCTAATTCAGATGACCTTTTTCCTTGTTCCTACTACTAGCTTTTAAAGCCAGATGGTTTGCATAACCCATGAGAATATACTAATTTATGTTTCAGCACTTTCATTTCTCATCTTGTCCTTTCCATAGGATGCTTTTCCCTCCTTTTTCGTTTCTCCCCTTTCAGTGCTCAGATTTCTTTCAGAGCCGTCAAAATTGATTTTCCTGAGGTAATGGGACATTTTGGGTTAGTGAAACCACTGCCCTGCAAGATGTATGTAACGATTTAACGGACCTCAAGGGCAGAAATGCTTGCAAAGACCATCCAATGCTTTTGCAAACCCTGGGCCAGTGAACACTATCCAGTAGCAATATATTTGTTTGAAATTGCTGTTTTCTGAATCAAATATTGCCCTTTTTTCCATATAAGTCACCAGCCTTAACCGCAAAGAAAAGTGAGTTTGCACCAGTTCTAGAAGCCATGTCTCCTTTTCCCTAGCGCAAAGGTTCACTTTTCCCACAGAGCAAAACTCAGACAGTAAGAGAAGTCTGCAACTCTCTGTCAGGGCATAAGTGAGCCATAAGCGCCCCATGTGCCTCCCCACAAGCTCACACCCAGGTCCTCTGCCTGGGGCCCAGGGCAAAGCTCCAGCCTGGGCCCCCAAGCCTGGCTCATCACTCCATGAAAGGTACCAGCTGGTCCCAGTGTGGTGGCTCATCTCTCTGTGTCCTTCCCGTTGTGGATGTGTTGGTGTTGTATTCTCTGCCACTTTTGAGGTAAGCAAGAACAGCTGTGATGCCCAGAGAAGTTGTGGCTGCACCATCCCTGGGGGTGCTCAAGGCCAGGTTTGGACAGGGCTTGGAGCAACCTGCTCTAGTAGAAAGTGTCCCTGCCTGTGGCAGGGGGTTGGAACGACGTGATCTTTGTGCTCTCTTCCAACACAAACCAATCTCTGATTCTATGATTCCATGTCTAGTTTGTCCCATGGGCTTTCATTTTTTAGTTTCCTGGTCTATGGCAAAGCCACTTCATGTATTACAATTTTTACTCCTTTGTCCTGGTTTTGGTCAAACCACAACACCCTTTTAAAAACCCTGAGTGTGAGTCTGTCATGACTGTATCTGGTTAAAGCCAGGGATGAAGCCCGTCAGGGAGCGTAGTTAGAATGTTTACTTCAAGTATGAAGAAGACTGGGAGAAACTGAAACTTCACAAAGGAACAAAGCAGATGTTGGGGTGATGAGGGGAGCTCAGAGCAGCCAGCACTCGCCGTGGCACATTGCTGGCTGTCCCAGTCAAAAAAGCAACCCCTGACAGGAGGCATGGCAGCTGCACTGTTTCACCTTGGTGATTGTGACTGCTGCCTTAAAGGCTAAATATTATTACACGAAGCTTGTGAAAAGATGAGAGCCTGTGAACAAGGAAGGAGTCAATGGGTTCGTGCCAGACTTCTGCTCGCTCCTGGCAGCCCAGGCCGAGCACTCGCACTGACGCAGAGTGAATCTGGGACAGGAGGTAGCGGACAAATGTCACCCATGCAGACATCTCCCAGGCAAGCGCGCACACCTCAGCTGTGGGAGGTGTTTACCTGAGGGCTCATAAAACCCTTCATGATGGCGAGTAATTTTCTGTGGGGATACCGGTGGCAAACAAGCCTCTCTGAGGAGGCCGTAGGGAGAATCCATCCAGCTAGCGCTGGATTTTCCAGGGTAAAACTTTGACAGGGGTTGGTTTTGCATACAGGTGTGCGGAACGGGCACATTTAATAACTCCCCCCGCACTCTCAGCCATCTTTATGCGGGCTTCAAGCGCACAGCTTTTCCGCCGGGAGCGACCCCCGGCCGCCCCTCGCCCGGCGGCGCACGGCACTGCCCGGAGGCTCACGGCCGCCTGAGGCGGAGCTTCCTTCGGGGCCGGCGGCAGCTTTCGGCGCCGCGGTCCTCCCCTTCCCTCGCTCTGCCGGAGGGAGGGGGTCGCTACCCCGCGATCCCGGTAGGGAGGGCACAGCCCTCCGCTGCGGCCGGGCGGGCGGGTACCGCGGTGCGGGGAGGCGGCGCCGCCGAGGGTGATCTCGTTGCCCCCCCCCCTCCGCGCCTGCCGGGCGGGCCGGGCCGGGCCGGGCCGGGGCGGGGCGGGGCCGGCTAGGGGGCGGGCGGGCGGCGCTGGTCGCTGTCCTGGGTGTTGAATCTGCTGCGGCTGCTGCTTGCCGGAGCCAGGGAGCGGCTGCGGGAGGCAAAGGGCGGGCGGGCGGCATGGAGTGAGGGCTGGCGGCGGCGGGCAGGGGAGCGGGATAGCCGCCTGCGATGGGCCAGGCATGATGGGGGCGCTCGGCTCCGTCCTCCCGCTGCTGCTGCCGCCGCTGCTGCAGGTCCTCGCCGCCGCCCCGCGCACCCAACTGCCCTCCGCAGGAGCCGCCGCCGAGGCGCGGATCGGTGAGTGGGGCGAGGGGCGGGAGGCGTGGGG